CTTTATGCTTGCATGACATTCAGGAAGTTCTTCATCTCATTGTTCTCAGAAGAGGTAAGCAGATATAAATTTCTTAAGTAGTGGGTAGCGTCTCATGGGAAAGCCTGGGGAATTAGCCATCCTTTGGCTGAATGAAAGACCAGACCAGAATGCCCCAAAACCCTTTTAAAAATCATTGATGTTTTCATTGTTCTGTTCATTTCCAAACTATCATGTTACCTGTTTTCTCCTATCTGATGAATGTTCTTCATTCAAACAGACATTATTCCTTAGAAGACTCCTTCGCCTCTTGCTTGGTTCTGTTACTTTTGGGAAGAGATGTCCAGCATTTCCCCCGATGGACCTAGGCTCAGCAGCCCTGTCTGTTTGGGTAGGAGTACGCCATGGGGCAGAGTCAGAGATGGGCAGAGATGATGTGTAACTGGAAAAAGCTGTCCCCCTCTGCACAGGAGAATCGCTTCTCACATTCATCATTGCCTTTGCTTCCTTTCCACGGCGTGCCTGCTGCTCACGGGTAGTAGGTGGCTACTGCCACTAGCGACATGATGATTAATTATTTTAGGAAGCTTGGGTAAGTTGGAGCAGTTGTTATAAACATCTAAACTTGGAATCTGTTTTGTGAAAAGCAGAAACTGTTTGCATGCACCAAGGGAGAAGCTGGTGGTAGAAACTGCTGTATAATTTGCCTCTAGACTGTGGTAGAAAATCTTTTTTTGGGGAAAATAGGATGGATCAATGTGATTTTTCTCTCCATGTAAAGGTGTAACAAGTTATCTTATTTTGCAGAAGTAAAGTACTTATTACTGAAGTAATAAATAAAACATTTATGGCTTAGAATAAGTTGACAGTACCCATTTCCATGGCAGTGGGCATGTTAATGTTCTTAGAGCCACAGGCAGAGTGACATCAGCAGGTTTTTTTTCATTTTCTAACCCAGCTTCTAATTTCTTCTGTCAAAGAACCTGCATTTTAGTGCTGAGCAGGTCTTCTGGGACCCTTTTTGATTTGACTACATTTTGTAGCACCTCTTAAATTGTGTTTAACTTCCATTTTCTCAGGAGACTGCATGATGTAGTGGAAATAACATGGGTTTTTATGTGCAGTTTGTTTATTTTGGCCACAGGGCTTTTGCTTCACCTGCAGATTCTTGACCCAGTAGCAATCTGAAATTTTTCTGATGACCAGAGCAGTTTCAGGGTGCTTCCTGATGTACCAAAGGGAAGTCCTCTTAGCCTTTTTAGAGGGTACTGGTTCTGTTAGTAGCCACACACACACCCCTTTGTATCTGCTTCATCTAGAGAAGTTCTGTGACTGCTGGACTGACTCTCAGTTCCTGTGACTGCTGGAGGTTGTCATCGCCTCTCAGGCTGCACTGCCGTGATTCTCGCTCCTGCACTGGGGTGGTGATGACACTGGAGAACCATCCAGGCTGTTCTGAGCACAGGAGTCCAGCTCTCCTACTCAGACATTGCCACTTATTTATTAAGCAGTTACTTACTGAGCACCTTTTGTCTGCAAGTGTGCCGTGTACTGTGGAAGAGAAGAAGTGAAGGATCCATGCCTTCAAGATAGTTATAACCAAGAAAGAAAGCAGTTATGTGGATGGTGGGGTGAGGGTGTGTGGTTTTATGTTGGACCTTCTGTTTTTTTTTTTAAAAGGGGAGGGAATAAAATGTTGAAATCCTTGGAAGGTAATGTTCATTGTGCTTTTAGAAATAGCATGACTTTCTTCAAGGGAACGAAGGTAAGGAAAATGGTGCTTAACCTTTTTCCTCCATTATCCACCACATTTTTCCTTTGACTTTCAATTTACTTGAGATTCATTCAGTGTCTCTGTCAACTGCCCCAAAATACAGTATACCAAGTATATGTTTAGTTCAGATCTGTGCCTGGAATTCCAGACACATATTACCCACTGTCCTCTGGACACCTCCACCCTGACTGTTGCCACACTCTCAGATTGACAGTTCACAACTGAACTACTACACCCTGATCTGTGCCTCCTGCTGCAGTTCACCTCTGAACAACACCACCTTCCACCAAATGGCTCAGGCAGAAGTGTGGCAGCTGCCTTTGACTCTCCCTTTAGTTCCCATGAGCCAACCCTTAAGTTTACCTCCACAATACCTGTTGAATCTGCCTTCTCCTTCCCCACCGTGGTGCTCCCAGCTCCAGACATCATCATTGCTGACCTGCATTACTTGAGAACTCTCCCTGGTGTCCCGGGCTCAGCCTTCGCTTTCAACGCTGCCATCTTTACACTGAGCCAGGATGATCCTTTAGTGTAAATCTGCTTATGTCATCAGTTGGCTTAAAATCCTTGCATGGCTTTTCTTTTATAAATTGAGGTAATGTTGGTTTGCAACACTGTATGTTTAGGAGTACAGTTTCACATTGAATGTATGTTACCATATGGTGCCCACCACCAACTTGCCAGTAATCCTCCACCACAGTCCACTGGGCCCCCTCCTTCCCTTTGCTCCCCCCATCTCATTCCTGCAGTCCAAGGGTTGGTTTTGGTTTGATTTGCCTATTACTTTGCTTTGCTTCTTTATATTCCACATATTAGTGAAATCAAAACTATTTTTGCCTCACTACTTTTTTATTTCTCCCATAGAGCTCAATGTCAATGTTACTTCCTGTGTAAGGTCTCTGATTCCCTCAAGACTAGGTTGGAGACCCATGTTATATGCCCTTTTATGGAACTTGTATGTCCGATCGCATTGAGATTGCCTGTTGAATAATCTCACTTTCCTTCTTAACTGTTAACTTATGAGGATGGATGGGATCATGGGTGTGTACAATCGCCCGCAGTTGGTGTTATGAGAATGTAGTGTGGCAGCCAGCTGGGTGAGCCCTCTCCAGGGCGTCGGCAGCAGTGCTTAGGTGACTTCAAGTGTTGTTTTGTGATTCAGCAACTACTGAGGCTTCAGTATTTACCTTCTCACTGTATAGAATGTCATGAACATGAGGTGTCAAGGGGTTATCTGTGTGTTCGTTATTTTGAAATATTTTATTAGTACCCTAATTTGCCTGATCTTTGGGTGCGAGTGTAGGTGTACATGTGTCATGTTTGTTGATGAACGGAATGACTGAGAGCAGCTGCCGGATAGCCAGTAGGAAGAAGAGCAAAACATGATTAGTTGTGAAGCTGGGGTCTGCAGAAGAAATGCTTGCACAAGTCCCCTTTGCCACAGGGTAGCAGTGGAGCAGAGTCACTCAAATAAGTGAGGACTGATCTCCCTACAGCCTTGGTTGGATTCCCACTTTTGAGGTACTGCTGCATCGGTTCTAATGCAGCGTGTTTCTTAGGTTTCAGTGGGCGGCATCCGTAACTTTATATGGTGGTTTCTCACTGAAGCTGACCGCGCTCTGAAATCTAGTGGGATGTTCTCAAGCCTGGCTATGAAAGAAAAATCATTGAGCAGCCTTTTGTTGTAACTATGGCAAAAGCAAAAGGTTTATTTTAATTTTTTGTAATTCAATTTTAAGTATCAAAATTAGATTTGAATTACTGTAAAAAGGTAAAATTCAAAGTCTTTTCAAGGTTCTGAAAAAGATGTAGAAAAGAATTTAAGTGAAACAACCCTATCTTCCATTCCTGGAAGTTAATAGCTTATCTTTTCTGGGTACTAGTTTTCTTTTCTTTTCTCTCTCTTTCTTTCTTTCTTCCTTCCTTTCTTCCTTTTTTACCTTTCTTCTCTTTCTTCCCTTTCTTTCTTTTTTGCATTTTAAAAGGACAGGTCTATTAGGAAAAGAAGAAAGAGAGAGGTACCTGCATAGTCCCAGGCAAGCAGGAGAGCTGCTTTTTGTGTACTGTTTTTTTAGCTGTGGTTATCTGGGTTATTGTCTGTCTTAGTGCAGGTAACATGCATTGGAAGTGACTCTTCTAAGAAGGTACTGAGACCCCAGGGGGGAGTTGGCCATTTGAATATCTCTGATGGCATCAGTGGCATAAACACATTTTAGAAACCTTTGTTAAATAGATGAACATATTTGATATATATTTTTTTTGCAAGCCAAACTTTTACCTAATGTCCAAATCGTCCATTTCTGATATAACTGAGTGCCTCACAGTGATATAAAAAATACGAGATTGAGATAAAAGCAGAAGCAACTAAGCATGAAATTTATTTCTAACAAATAAGTTTGTCAGAGTATTTTCTGTTGGATAAGAAAAACAGACTCTGCATTAGTTTTCTTTTGCTACCTTAACAAGTCATCATAAACTTAGTGGTTTAACACAACACAAGTTTATTATTTCATAGTTTTGCGGGGCATAAGTCTATTTGGGCTCCAACAAGATGTCAGCAAGGGTGCATTTCATCTAGAAGCTCTAATGGGGCATTTTTTTTGCCTTTCTGGATACTAGAGGGTTCCCACTTTCCCTGGTATGCCCTCCTTCCATCTTCAAAGCCAGCAAGGTTGTATCTGTAACCATTCTTTTTGCTTATTTTTATTAAAATAATTTTGGTAACATAATCTAGGTTTCAGGTGTACAGATATCAGTATCTTTGTGTTTGTTTTTAAAGTCTAGTTTCTATCCATCATGTACAGTTGACCCCTTTTACCCAATTACCCACTCATCCAGCCATTATTTCATAGTTCCATCTACAGTTGGACAAGTTTCTTTGCTTTTAAGGACCCTTGTGGTTAGATTGGACACACTTGCATAATCCAGAATAATCCTCTTCTGTCAAGATCCTAAACGTAACCACATCTGTAGAATTCCTTTTGCCAAGTAAAGTTAAAATTCTGAGGTTCTAAGAGTATTAGAATGTGGACCTCTTAGAGGTGGGAGAGGGCTTTATACTTCCTATTGTAACATAAAAATACTTAGCATAGGATTTCATTCTCAGGCAGTGTTTTTCAAACATCCCCATGATTTGTTACAGATCTTTAAGAAATTTTCTTTTGGGTATATTATAGGGTATTTTTTATTTTTGGAATTTAACCTGCTTCTTAAAACTAATGTTCATTCTCTTTGTTTTCTTTGATAGTGATAACCTCCTAAGGAGAGCAGCCTGCCAAGAAGCTCAGGTAATGCCATTTAATGTGATAAAATTAAAACCTGCTTTATCTCTCTCATGCAGGGAACTCCAGCTGTTCCGGGGGACTTGCACATGCCTGGCATCAGTGCACTTTGCCTAAATATTTTGCTTCCACTATCAGGAGCTGAATCAGGCCAAAAGCCAACTCTGAATAGAACTGGAAGAAGTTAACCATCTGCCGAAGAGCAATTTAGATGCCCACCCCTTCAGACTTGTTTACTTCTGGATTAGTCTAAGGCCACGTACTGGACTGGCTGGAGCTCTGAGAATTTGTTCATGTCTGCACTTGTCCTTGAATATCAGTCTAAACCTTGAATCTTTCCTGATCCAAATAATCCCTGAGGATATCAGTTCAGAACAGGTGTTACCTCTCAAAGTCAAATCTTCTTAAAACTGTTGACTCATATTTTCAAAGCCCTGCTCTCTAGCACAGCTTATTTATCCAGGTGTGTTGTTCTCCTGGCCTCATGATGTTGTACTTAGATATTCAAATATCTGACTATATTAGTTACAACTGAATTGTAAGTCCTTTCAAGTTTAAGACCACATGTTGGCTCTTAATTGCAAGTTAAATTTTTCTGGGAAAAGTCCCAGGAGAAGTAACACAGCCACTGCTCAAGTTGAGACTGGGTAGGATGCCCGTCTTCACACGTCTCCAGACTATATCGTGGAGTCACTGGGAATAAACCCATAATTTGCTGGGTACCAAAATACTTTGCAGTCTGCTCTATTATATTATGTCTTTCCTCAGTAGTTTCTAAGGTGATCTCCAAATCAGACAGGAGAATATTTTTAGAACCGGATCAGGGGCTGCAGGGATTCCTCTCCAGAGTTGTGGAACTGACTGTTCAGGTCTGATTCTTCCAGGCCCAGTTGCTCCATGCCTCATTGCCCCAGGATTGCTTACTTTCATTCTGGTTGCTCAAAGTTGGGTTATTCCAGGTCTAGTTACTGCATATTGAGGGCTTTCCAGAGTGTTCGCCAGGCACCCTAGTGGTAGGAGTAGAGACTGGGGTGTTCTGTAGGTGCCAAGAGCTGTGTCTCACTGTTTCCCTTCTTTGGCCAGCTCTTTTTCTGCTACCTCTTGCATTTTGGTCTCTGGTTCTGGAGCCAGCTCTTAACCTGTTTGTAACTGAGGTTCAGGATGTTGGAAAATTCTTTCTTCATTGGAGGCTAAGGTACTTTGTCTCTGAAATCTATCACTGAGCACACACAGCTGCGTATCTGAAAGAACACAGTTCTGCTCTTCTATTTGCCAATCAGGACCTAATCTTTGATCTTCGCTGTGCTCTTCTCTCCACAAGTGGAAGGCAGTGTTTACTTTGGGACTGGTGGAAGAATCAGAGCTGTCCAGTCTCCATGTGGGGCATTTCAGCTGAAGACTTTTGCAAGCAGGCATTGTTTTCTTTAGACCCCCTGAATCTTGGGCATCAGCATCCCTCGAATTGGGTGCTATGGGGACAGAATGGACTTCGATGTTGTTGAATTGAGGGAGAGGGAAAAAGCTAAAGAGCTACATGTCTGAAAGGCCCAGGTATAAGTGTCTAGATGCAAGATTTTAGAGAAATGAAGATCTCCAGATGTGAAAGTATCCCAAAAAAAAGTGTGGGATAGGGGTGGCGAAGTGAGTCACCTCCACGGTAACACGACCCAACCAGCTTAATCCAGCAAAATGTTTTCCGATTTCCTTTGCATGTGTAGAGATAGGGAGATTGGTTGGTAATGCAAGGAGAAAGAGATTATAGTCTGAAAACCAAAGATAAGTGAATTAGACTCCTTCCTAATAAACTGTCTATAACCGTTACTGGTTGTATGTTTATAATAAACCTGGTCTTACCTTATAAAGAAAGAAAAGTTATTACCTTTAATAGTCAAAGCAGGATGTTTTAGTTCCAATGTAAAATTCAGCTCATCATCATGAAACAGTGGTACACTTTTGTTGTACACTTTTGTTGTGTTTTATCAATAAGAAACCATGAAAGAAAATTTTTTGGTTTTACCCAGAGTAAATGCCATATTTGTGTAAATTCTTTTGGAATGCAAGAATCTATGTGATCACTGAGTGAAGAAGACATTTGCTTAAAACTTTTCTTTTTTCTCTTTTAGGTGTTTGGCAATCAGCTCATTCCTCCCAATGCACAAGTGAAGAAGGCAACCGTCTTCCTCAACCCTGCGGCTTGCAAAGGGTAGTTGAGTCTGTGGTTTGCTCTGTGCTCAGCTTTCTCTAAGGCGGCAATCATAGGCTATCAGGCAGCCCATTGGAGTGTGCGCAATTGGAAGAACTAGGTGCAGCACTCCTGCAATGAGTCACTGGTGACGTAGAAGCAGCGGTCAGTAAGGCAGCACGGGTGCTCAGCAGGCTTATCTGAGTGAAGATGAATGATCGTTGCCCATTGTTAGCACTGTCAAGTCAGTCTAACCTTCGTGACAGTAGCCCCTTGGGAGCCACTCCTGTGTTGTGAAGTGGATTATTGGACAGTTCCTGTGACTGGACAGACAGAGCTATCAGAGTGTGGTGGGCCTGGGAATCATAAACACCCTCTCCAAGGGCAGGCACCCTTCAGTTAGAGCTTAGAGTTCGGGAGAGGGAGAACGGACACTCCCTCCTCCACGGGGCAGAGGCCTAGAAACCAGAGGGACTGTTTGTGTCCTTCTGTGCCAGGGTGAGTCCGTCAACAGGCCTGGCCGGCCTGGAAGGATGCCGTGAAGGAAGGTGTGATGAGCACTGGGAAATCTGGTTGACAAAGTCCGTGTATTATAATGAATGTGCCACGTTGGAGGGGGGTAGGGAAATGCTGAAAGTGGGGCAGGCTGTGTGTTGCAGGGCAAGCGTACGTGGGATCACTACACTGTTCATTTTTACCGGAAAGTTAAAAGTGCTCTAAAAAATTAAAAAGAAAAAAATACCATGGGCAAAAATATTTTTCTCCCCACATTAGGTGTGGCCCTTACTCAGTTAGAGAGGCGAATGAAAAAGCCTTGATATCTTGTAGAAGAAATTATTCAAAATTTAAAATTGTTTTTTAAAATAGTGGGAAGTCAACAATTCTTTTCTGAACATGAGAAAATTAATGAATAGTAAATTAACTGACAAATAATAAAACAAATAGTAAATTAATAAATATGTATTGGATTGGACTTTGTAAGATCTAAATCAAAAGACATGAAGCTGAGGAGAGGAGCAGCAACGGAACAGTTGAGACCAGCTGCTGAGCGATGAGGTTGGTGCTGCCTGGAGTGACGCAAGGGCCTCAGACCTCCACGTCTCTCCCCAGTTGCTGGGAGGCGTGAGAGTGACTTCACAGATAGAGCACTTGCCACTCCATATTTCTTTTTCTTTTTCTTTTTTTTTTTTTTTGTGTGTGTGATTTTATTTTATTATTTTTTAAGATTTATTTATTGATTGATTGATTGCTTTATACAAGCAGTGGGTACAGTCAGAAGCGCGGGAGGGTGAGAGAATTCACCAGAGCCAGAGCTGGGAACAGAACGGGCAGAAGGACTGAAATACACTGCTGAGGGGAGCAGCGGGCGGCAGGATAGGTCTGCACGCCATGTGGGACCCTCGCCGGCAGCTGGGGATCGAACCGGTGCTGCAGAGGCTGCCGGCAGCTTCGCAGCCCAGCGCTCAACCACTGCGCCACCCGGGGAGGCCCCATATTTCTTTTTAATTGGCAGTTTAAGATGCAGCGGGTCCTCAGTAACCTTAAATAACATCATTTCCCTTTAATGTTGAGGAAAAAAAAAAGAATCCCAGCTGAAGTTGAATAAAATGACAGTATTGAAGGACCCAGTGTTATTTTAGGTTGTTTTGCTTGAAGTACAGCTTCCAAGAACTGTTTGCTGACGTTAAATGAGGATTTACTCTATTTACCTACCAGTTGTCTAAATTGGCTCTGTTGCTCTGCCTGATCACGTTGGCCTGGCTTTGTGAGAGGCCTGTGTATTCCTCAAACACGCAGCTTACAATGCCTATTGATTATTCTGGCTTACTGTCAATATCAAACAATACCCAAAAATGAACAGGTCCTGCTCCAGCACAGTGGAGATATCCAAGATGACCAAGCGGTCAGCGATGGCCGTGGCAGGAGCGGCGGAAAGAACTCAGTTTGAGGGGCCTGGTCTGTGTACTGCTTTGCTCTGTGATTCTGCAGGAGCTATTTAACTTACATCCTCAGGTTACTTACTCATCTGTAAAATGGGGAAAGTAGTAGCATAGACTTAATAAAATTACCATATAAAATAAGCACCTTTAAGAGTAAATGAGGGGGCCTCCCCGGTGGCGCAGCGGTTGAGCGCTGGGTTGCGAAGCTGCCTGCAGCCTCTGCGGCGCCGGTTCGATCCCCGGCTGCTCCCCGGCCACGGGAGGAGGGTCCCACATGGCGCGCAGACCTCTCCTGCCGCCCGCTGCTCCCCTCAGCAGTGTACTTCGGTCCTTCTGCCTGCTCTGCTCCCCACTCTGGCTCTGGTGAATTCTCTCACCCTCCCGCGCTTCTGACTGTACCCAGTGCTTGTATAAACAAAACAAACAAACAAATAAAACATGCCTCTATTAAAAAAAAAAAAAAAGAGTAAATGAGGGATGCCTATGACGTATTACCATTTCATAGTAAGCGCTTGACAGAAGAAATTAGCTGCTGCTGTTACTGACCTGAAGGGCTGTTCACAGCACTCCCTGCCCTCCCCCAGCCGCTGTGCCCCTCCTGCCCACGAGACTGTGGCTGCGCTGGGCCTCTGTCTGCCATACCCAGTGGCTGAGCAGCCTGCATTCCCTGGCAGTTTGTTTAAACTATCATCAGTCATTATGACTTCTTACTTAAGAAATAGTTACATTTTTAAAAAAACTGATGAACTTTTTTCTTTAGAGCAGTTTCAGGTTTTGTTATGTTTTTGCATGTAAATGTATTTGCATTTTTTAAGGTGAGTTCTTGTTTAGAAACCTAAATAATACCTTTATTTAAAGGTGAAGCTAAGCAAAGTTTTCTCTAAAGTCATTGTCCTATTTAGCAAGGTGGATCCCTGCAGGCTTCTAGGAAATTCCTCATTTAAAAAAAAAAAGTTTTCACTGTTTAATTGCATTATTTTAGTCATCTTGGCTCTGCACAATACATAATTCATGATTTATCATGCATCTTTTTGATTATATAGTATAGTATAAAACTACACAAGGGCTTTAAGAAATAAGATAACTGTTTAATGTTAAATAATACATTAAAGAGTAATTATTTTGTGTGTGTTTGTGAAGCTGGAAATTGCTACAAGTATATAAAGTTTTCATTTAGCTCAGGTGCTATCTCACCCTTAATTATATAATAAATAATGCATTTCTATCCGGTAGCACTGGTTTTTCTATTTTGTATGCAACATTAGAAGGAGAAAAAATGTCTTCACTTACATTTAGAGATTTTCTATACCCCTGGCATCACATAAAGATATGAATAAAGGCCAGATCTTCAAATGTTATTTCTTAAACTAATTCAGAAGAGCTCACAACTTCATTATAAATGATTAATAAATGTAGCATATTGAGACTTTTCTAGAGTTTTGCTTCTCAGACATAGATCTGAACTACTTCCAAATAATCCGTTCTTGTCAATTTGCTAATGAAAGAAACCCAGGATGAAAGAAACCCAGGATGAAGAAATGTTCACAATCACTAACTCAACTCTTTGTTGTTGGGTTAAGCACCAGACTCTACAAACTAGAGGAATAATTTCCACTTAGCATTTCATGTTCATCCCAGTAAACATTCAGGGCCATAGAAAAGAGAGGGGATATTTGTTTAATTTGCTTATTTCATGCTCAAGAGGGCCCTTGGCTTGAGATATTCTTTTGAATTGTCCTTGTGAAAATTTGTCCAGGCTTCTCAGTTTCAGTTTTAATTAATAATAAGAAATGTTTTGTATTCTGTCTTCTATTTGTGGTTGTTTTGGTTTAAAGAATGTTGAATTTGGTCTGTGCATGCATAATTATACATGCTTCTCATTACCTACCTTTGTACCTCTTTCTAGCTTAAAATATTTTTAAGTCAAAGGATGCAAGTCTTTGGTAAAAAAAAAAAAAATCTTTAGAAAGAGAAGTGAATAGAATAAATGTGACCATAAAAGTTAGACATTGATTGTTTTGAACTTGCTAGTTTGGTTTCATTTTTGTTTTCCCCTTCTGTGATGGTTGAAAGTGTTTGGATAGAAGGCTGCTCAACTGATTGACATGTTTAATGTGTATTTGACTTGGAGGCTGCACTGGTGGGGGTGTGGGGCGTGAGGAAGGGATTCAAGGATCAGTACAGTTTTGGTGTCTGTTTTGGCAAGGTTTCTAGTCTAGTCTTGAAGACTGTCTTGCAAATCACTAATCATCATGCAAAGTGAAAATTCCTCATGTGTGTAGTCAGAGGGCAGCCCAGGACTGGGCCTGAGAATTTAGGGAAACTGCTGATGATTTTGTAGCTCTGTTAGATTATTACTTTTTCCTTTCCTCACCAAAGTTCTGCCTTCATGGAAAAGAATTTTGCTCTGTCTATAGAGATTCCTCTCTAGTAATATCTCCAGTATTTGTTTAAAATGATGCCTTTTCCCTTCAAAGGTTCTGTCCACTAAATTATAATTAAGCTATGTTCTCTTTGGTTTAATCTGTTCCCTCAGATCTTATGGGCTATGTTATGGTTAATACCTGCCCTCTCACCACTGGACTATTAGGTAAGTGCCACGAGCACTTAATACAGTTATCTTTAGGTTGCTAGTATTTTTGTCTGTTTGATGTGTTATAGTGCCTATCTCTAGCACATAGTAGGTGCTCAATAAATAGTTGTTGAATGAATAAGGACTGTTTGAGTGACGCTGCATCTAGCGTCCATTCTTCCTCAGCAAAGCATTCTAGACAGACAAGAACTCACCATAGTAAATAGTATATTGGACACCTCAGGGCAAAAGAGTATGTTGCTATCCATAGACACTCATTACTCATTGAACTTCCTGTCCTTAAACAAATAAGGAAACCTGTGCTTCAGTCTGTTTTTTGTTCTACTCTAGAGAAGATGTTGGGTTTTTTCTTCTTCTCTTGAGAACTCATATCAAGATATTTCATTTTTTTTTCCCCTTTGTTTTGTCTGCAGCAAAGCCCGGACTCTCTTTGAAAAAAATGCGGCCCCGATTCTGCACTTATCTGGCATGGATGTGACTGTAGTGAAGGTGAGCACAGCGGGAGCGCTGACTTTACCCACCTCCTGGTCCTTGTAACACATTCTCTTGGCGTCTTAGCAAAATCACTTTTCGCTTAAGAAGACAGGAACAAGAAATCACTGCTGTGTCCCTGTACTTATAATTAATAAAAGCAGTTTTGGATTTTCAGAGTATTGTTAGCTTTTCATTTTTGGAGTAGGACTAGATGGAAGCAGGAACTGAAGAGGGCATGTGAAATTATTGTCTTTTGAAAGATGAAAGTGGTTGTAGCTTTTAAGAATGCTTTTCCTAGAAAAATAAAACCCTTCAAGTTTCAGTACTTAATTTCTTGGTAATTCCACAGGCAGTTTAACATTTTTTTCACTGGTGCAGAATTGTGTCTGGTAAGGAATTTTAAGTCAGGTTTTAGAATTTATGAGATTGAGGTAAGCAGAGTATGAAACTAAGAAAAATTGTGCTATTTCAGAGGATTTATTGGCTTTTAAGTGACACATATGGTGTTTGCGTAGGTGTGTGCATTTGGTGAAAACACTATTATGTTTGTAAGACTGGTTTCCCTAGCTGTAATAATACACACTTGTATTAAATCATAGAAATTAAGTTTATTTAGTTCAATTTACTGTGTGGTTTTGAGCTTTCCTCTGCACCTTGTCTGAGACTCAGTCTCCTGTTGTCTGCCTCCGTAGACGGAAGGACGTGTGGGATGCACTTAACATTTTCATAGCTGTCGTGTGTATTGCAGAATGTGCGTGTGAGAGAGCCTAGAGTGAGGCAGATATCACTTCTTCCTTGAATGTTTGATTGAACTGACAAGTAAAGCTGTCTAGGCCTGCGACTAGCTTTCAGGGAAAATTGTTTTTTTTCTGACTCAATTTCTTTATTGGCTCTAAAAGTACTTAGTTGTATTTCGTCTTGAATTTATACTATCCTCTTTGTAAGTTTTAAAATCTGTAATAATAAGTATCTTTATATTGTTTCTTTGTGCCCTCTCTTTTTTTTCTCTCCATAATCTTATCAGAAACTTGTTAATCTTTGCCAGCAACCATTTTTTGACTTTCTTCTCATTTATATTTGTTTCATTAATCTCTGTCTCTTGTTTTCTTTGAATTTTTTTCCTACTGTTCTTTTCTGATATTTTAACTTGTATCTTTATCCTATGAATTTTCACCCTCTAGGTCCATCTAGGTTGTTGCAAATGGCACGATTTCATCTTTTTATATAGTCGAATGGTATTCCATTGTGCGCATACACCCCTTGGCTTTACCTCGTCAGCTGTTGCTGGGCACTTAGGTTGGTTCCCACTCTTACAAATGTGAATGATGCTGCAGTGAGCGTGGAGGTGCGGCTCTCTCTTTGAATTAGTGTTTTTGTATTCTTGGGGCAAACTCCCATGAGTAAGATAGCTGGGTTTCATGGCGTTTCTGTTTTTAAGTGTTGAGGAACCTCAATATTGCTTTCCTAATGACTGCACCAATTTACATTCCCACCAACAGCATGAAACGGTCCTTTCCCCCACATGCCTGCCAACACTTGTTTTTTGGGTAATAGCCATTCTCAGGGGTGAGGGGATATTGTTTTTATTTGCGTTTTCCTAATATGAAATTCTGGACATCTTGTCATGTCTGTTGGACATCTATATGTCTTCTTTGGAGAAAATGGGAGAGGGAGGCTGAGAAGTCTTCTAGGGGCTTCTGAGGAATAGGGAGTCCCAGACCACTGACAGAGGAGGGACTCAGAAGAGCTGGAGGCAAGTGGCCCCCTTGGGGCACTGCCAATCCTGACTGGGGAACCCAAATGGAAAGCAGATCCACTGTCCCCAAAGTAGGACTTGTACCCTGCAGGGGGCACTAGTTCTGCAGGGGGTCTGCAAAGAAAAGAAGCAGCTACTAAAAAAAATAAATTAAAAAAAAAAACTTTGGAAAAGAGGATGAGTCCTCCACCCATTTTTTTGGTGGGTTGTTAAGGGGATTTTTGTTGGTGAGTTGTGTGAGTCCTTTATATTTTTTTGGATTTTAACCCCTTGTCAGATGAAAATGTATTTAATAGAATGTATTTTCATTTTGGAGATGGTTTCTTCCTGCTGAAGCTCTTTAGTTTAAGGTGGTCCCATTTGTTGCTGTTTGCTTTTGTTTTCTTTGCCATTACAATTGAGTCCCCAGTGAATCCCTGAGATCAGTACTGAACTTATCTGTGTTTTTCCTCTGTGTATTTTATGGTTTACATTCAAGTCTTTAGCCCATTTTGAGTTCTTTGTTATATGTGATGTTAGTGATCTAGTTTCATTCTTTTGCTTGTGACTGTCTGGTTTTCCCAGCACCATTTATTGAAGAGACTTTCCTTGCTCCATTTTGTACTCTTTACTCCTTTGGTGTAAATTAATTGTCCACAAATGTATGGTTTTATTTCTGGGCTCTATATTATCTTCTGTTGATGTGTATGTTTGTTTTTATTCCAATACCATACTGTTTTGATTACTATCATTTTGTAGTATCATTAGAAGTTGGGGAATGTGATACCTTTATTTTTGTTCTTTTTTCTCAGAATTGCTTATATTATTTGTATATTTTATAATTCCAAATAAAATTCAGTGATCTTTTTTCCATTTCAGTGAAGAATGCCATTGGGATTTTGACAGGGATTACCTTGAATCTGGCTATTGCTATAGATAACATAGCCATTTTAACAATGTTAATTTTTCTAGTCCTTGAGCATGGAATATAATTTCATTTCTTTGCAGTTTCTTTTTTTTTTTTTCAACAGTCTTATAGTTTTAGTAGACAGGTCTTTCACATCATTGCTTAAATTTTTTTGTGGTATGCAATTCTTGTTGATGAGGTTGTAAATGGAATAGTTTCCCTGACTTCTCTTTCTACTAGTTCATAATTTGCTTACAGAAACACAAGTAACGCATTAGGTTTTTGTGTGCTAGTTTTGTAGTTAGGCTATATATTCAGCAGAAATACCACAGAAAGGTTGTTCTTTCTCAGTGCATAATGCAAGAAAGGAATTCTTTGAATTAAATTCCTAACTTTCAAATTATCAGGCAGTGTGAGTTTGGGTTATTTACCTATGTCAGGACCAGCTCAAAGTAATGAATTCTCAGGGAAGAATTATACACCTTTCTTTCTGCAACAGATTTCAAAACAGAAAATACTCCTCACAGTCCTTTGGGATAAAGAAGGGAGTCAGGATAGTTCAGCTTTATTTTTATTCCACTTCAAACTGAGTGTGTAGTTTCTCAACCTTAAGGTGCGTGTGGCTCTCCCAGCATACTAGTCAACCTTGAGCAAGTCGGGAATTTGTCTCCACTCCTGAGATTGGTGATGTCTTAAAAATCAGAGCTCAGATTCACCTGGTGCACCGGGTGTCCTCAAAGCACTTACTGTTTGGGTGCACATTTTGGCATGGTATTCCTTCTCTGTTGTATGGCGTCATATTCTTTACTTCCTTCTAACATATCGATGTGTCAGAGATGCTCTTCATATTTCACCCTGTAGTTTTAACTCTGTGGCAGCGCACCTAGACTACCATCATCCTGGAAATGAAATTGTCACACTTCGTGTGTATGATTTTATTAAAATCACATGAAGCCCAGTGAAGAGTTTGCTTGATGAATAAGAAAATTGAGGACTCAAGCATCTAGAAACCTGCCCAGTTACACAAATAATAGTGACAGTGCTGGGATCTAAAATGCAGCTCTGTTGACTCTAAAGCATGTGTTTTCTAACTAGAACTCTGCTTCCCGCTTAACCTGAAATCTGCTAGTCTCTAGGACCGCTTATTTTATCTCAGGACAGCACTATTAGCACGTTGTTGCTAGGGAATTCATTTACCAGAGTTTTTACACATTAGTCCTTGGTTCTCAGTTCTGGCTGAATATTAGTTGTAACTGACATGGAGTGGAGTCTAAGCATCCATGTTTACATAAAAAAAAAAAAAAAAAAAAAAAAAACCCAGGCGATTCTAACATGCAGGTGGATCAAGAATCGCTGAAGCAGGTCCCGCTTCTGTTCCGTGAGGTCATGTGAAATAACATCGTCTTTCTCTGTGAGATAGTCCTTGGAGCACATAAAGAGTGTGCCCATAATTCTCCCTCCAGGCTTCTCCATATGAACTATTCCCAGTATCTTCGTAAGGGGCATGGTTTCAAATCTGACATGAATCCACCATTGCAGTATAACACAGAACAGTTTCACTGCGCTAAGCAGCCCCTGTTCGCCATTGGATCATCCCTTCCTTCGAGCCCTCCCTTCGAGGAGAGCATCTTGCAGATGCAGGAGGGAGAGAATGCAGGCCTAGCAAACTGCCCAGTCTGAGGCTCTGAGGCAGGAATGTCCATGGCGTGTTGGAGGAACAAAAGGAGGCCAGTGTGGCTGGAGCACAGGGGAGACAGTGATGAAGGATGAGGTTACAGGAGTGAGGAAATGCAAGTCATCGACTTGTAGCATTTACATATTCAGTAAATTACCAACATCTCCAATGTAGATCAAGTGTTGGGTTGGGACAGGGCGAGTCCGAAGGAAATGTCCCCAGGAATCTACATCTTGGTTGATGTCTCCCCACCCATCGTCTCGTTTTGAGATAGGTATTACTCAGCTGCAGTAGCTCTCCTCATTTTGTTCTGGTGTATTGTTTCCGCCTTGTAGCTTGCCAACTGTCTTGCTGAGGAGCAGCTCTCCTGTCTGGTTTTCTAGAGCTGCTGATCTAGTAATGTCAGAGGAGAAGAGGATAGTCTGGAATGCCTTGTTCTCAGTGAACCCTTGTTCTGCTTTGGGGTGCTTACACTCCATCCTTTTAATCAAGATTAACATGCTTTTTTTAAAATGAAATATTTGCAAATGTACAACTATAAAGCCAGAACTTTTTGTTTTTAGAATAAAACTAACTGGTGTTAGCTTAGAGACTTCCTTTTTTTTCCCTCTGTGTGCTTTGGCCCGTCAGAAATCCAGATCTTTAATTTTTGCCAATTAGTGGGTGTGCTAAAGCCTCAATCGGAGGCATGTTTCCCTATCTTAGTGTGAGTGCATTATGCCCATTAAATTTTATTTATTTATTTTACTTTTACATTTTATTTTTTATATTTTTATTTTATATATTTTTACATCATTTTTCACTTTTGCACAATGTATGCATTTTCATCTTGGTTATAGTCCCCATATAATTCCCACCCCCCTTGTTTTGACCGTAATCCCTCCTCCCCTCCCCCTCACCACCCCCTGACTCCTCCCCTGTAGTATGTCTCTGGCTTATAGTTGCTTGATGATTTTGATTTTTACTTTATTATAATTACTCTTTCCTGGTCCCTTATTTTGGTTTTCTAAATTCCTACTATGAGTGAGACCATCTGGTATTTTTCTTTTTCTTTCTATATGCCCATTAAATTTTAACATTTGATTTTAAAGGCTGTGGCTTAGATGGTTTAAATATACATGTGTATCTGATAGGAAATTTTCTCAGTAAAAATGGGAAGGCTTAGGTAAACTGCTTATAACTGCTTTGGGTCATAGCTGTATTTCTTCCTGGACAGTTAAAGCAAAACAAAAAAACTTCCATTTATTTAGTACAGTTCCAGTTAAGAGTAATTAACCTTGCTAGTTGTTCTATGCACTGCTTTGCAGCAGTATTACAGGAAGTTATGATGACCCCTTCCCCAATGCAAAAAATTTCATCGATAAGGAAATTAAGATTCCAAAAGTTTAAGTCCACTCAGCTGAAAAGCAGCACAGTGGGATTTAATTGAGGTTGCCTGGGCTCTCAAATCTGTGTTCTCTTCATCACTTCTGCGTCTCTGTATTCGCATGTGTACTTGACTCCAAGGAAAAGCACTGGTAAAGGCTGTAATAGAGCATGCACTGGACTGGGAAGGAGTCCTTTGACTAGTTTACTGTACAACAGGCAAATCGCTTTTACTTTTTGATGGCTAAAGTCACAAGAAGTGTTACTTTTAAAGCAAGCAGCTCACTAGGTGGTTTCTGAGGTTCCTCCAGATGCAAAAGTATAAAATTAATTACATCATTACTTTAGTTTTTCACGCCTATCAGTTATGTAGAATTTGAGAAAAGAGTCAGTGTCAAACTTTAGAGAAAAGAGCCCATGTTTTTCAGCCTTTGACCTTGTGACTCAAGGATGATAAATTTACCAAAACCTTCATTGTATTTCAGACAGATTATGAGGGCCAAGCCAAGAAGCTCCTGGAGCTGATGGAAAGCACTGACATGATCATCGTGGCTGGGGGAGACGGGACCCTGCAGGAGGTATGGCCATTTTTCAGTTTGAAACCATGTCGAAAGTGAGGAAAGTGGAAATTAGATCTTAGAGCACAAAGTGGTTCTAATTTAAGGAAATTATTTTCTTTTAATCCATTCTTTTAGGATTGCTACTCTCTGAAATAAGGGTAGCATTGATTTTTTCAAGTGCATGCTGTGTGTCATTGCTTTGTCTAAACTCTATTCCCAGCACATAAAATTTCGCTTTAGCAGGTTTAAGTTTGATAAAATCAAATCAGACAAATGGTGATGAGTCTGATAAACTTCTTTATATTATGAGGACTTACAAGGTAGCCTGTTTGTTATGGAATTGTAGTTTCAATTATGAGGACTATTTCTTATGAAATAAACCTAGAAATTCCCTTTAAAGGCATTCTTCTATTCTCACATCTCCATGAAGTGTGATGTTACCTCCTCGTAGTGCCTCGAGGAAGAAGCCTGTGTGTTCAGGCGTATGCATCGGCCTTTTTGAAAATCCATGTCCAGTGCTGCCTTAGGCCCATTGAGAACAGTATCTTGTCCTGGAAGTGCTCCTTTACCACACAGCAGCCTAGGACTTTCACTGGGTACTAGAAACCCCCTATGGTGGGTGCCCTCAGACCCCTCCATCACTCCATCTTGTGTGCCGTGATTCATTCCGAACCTCTTTCCTGCTCACCCTCTGCTGCCGCCGCTGGTCTCATTAGTGTTCAGGGATCAGGAGCAAGCAGAAGACAGCACTGTCCAGAAGACAGCACTGTTTGACTTAGCAATTATGTGAGCCTTAGTGAGCTGCTTTTTAAAAAGCTGTGCTAATGATCTTGTAATTGTTTTTGTGACTTTTTAATGAAGTGTGAAGAATATTGATAGCATGCCAACAAAGACTGATGTAGACCTGGAGACAGCCCCATTTAATCCTGAAAGTCAGTGAGGTGTCGGAGATGAAGGGAGAAGATTGCCATCAGCCTGTACTTCACAAAATGTTTTTAAGAAAGATACACATTGTCTGTTTGGCATAATCCCAGTCATATAAAAATATACACTGATAAAAAAGGATTGGAGGGAAATATACTAAGCAAAACTTAACTGACTAATGATAATATCCTGCATGCTACGATTATGGAAAAGTATTTTTCCTTCGGGTATTTTTCAGATTTTACAAGATGTGTATTACATTTTAAAAATAAAAAACAAATTCTGTAAAAAATTCAAGTTCAAAATATATTTTAATACAGGGGCTATCATCCCCTTTGTCTTTGCTTTCACTAACAAGAAACACTGAGTGCAAACCTCTGCTAATGGGATCAGGTCTGAGTGGTCAGCAGCTCTGAGGTTCTAGGACCATGGGCCTTTTGCTGCCTGACCCCGCAAGAGACCAAGTGACCCTGACTTCAAGAATAAAGATTCGAGAGCAAAGGCAGAAAAGCTTATTGAGGAGAGAGCTGGACCTTCTAAGTTATCTGCCCTTAAAGAAGGTGAAGTTGTTCAGGAATCTTTCCTGGAAGAAGCACAGCCTGGGGAGGGGTTACCTGCACCAGGTGAACCGAAGAGGTGCAGACTCTCACAGTGCAGCCCTCTGTGTGGACAGTCACTGCCGCACCATCCCCCCACCAGTGTTCCAGGTGCTTCTGACCAAGCTCCCAGCAGTTATTCAGAGAACTGCAAGTGAATAGAACCTGGCTGAAGATGATGTGGAATGAGAAACAAATGTCAGTATAGCAATCTCAATTAAAAATATTTTAAAAATCTTAACTCATATTCCTTCTGGGGGAATAAGGGCAAATATACTTGCCATGGGCTGGCCTACCCTGAAATCTGCCAACTAATTTTCACTTTATATAAATCCATTTTTCCAGTGAAAAATGTATTTTGATAGACAGCTTTCTATTTTATAAATGTCCTAGGTGTTACAGAAATAGCATAGATTTTATTTATTCCCCAAAATTAATTAAAATGTGCATATAACAATACTCAGTGCTCAGTTTTGAAAGATAGCCAACAAAGGTGTAGCAGAAAGCTTGAGAATGGCCATTGTTTCAAGCTGATACATTTCGTTATTTGTGCAAAAAATGGATGGAAACTTGTTTTTACCAGAACTGAACATTAAAAATTTTGAGTTCATTTCTTCCCGCTAAATCTCTTTAAATATCCAAGCTATGCTGCTGTGCTGTATCAACAGCTTTACCCCTTCTCCTGTGTATCGATCTTAAAAGGTGTTGTTTAAATCAGTGGACTTAATATGTCCTGGATGCTTATTTCCTTATATTTTAGGTACAAATAGTTGCAAGTAGCACCAGGAACTAGATCTCTGTTCACCCACGTGTAGCCATGTGAGTTCCGTCACTTAATGGCAAGTCAGCTTTCTCACTTATAAACTGAGGACATCTGTCTCATTGAGAAGTGTCCTTTTATCTTTAACTCACCATTTCTGTTCAGCATCTCCACACACAACCTTTTCCTGAGGGGTATATTTGTTGGGGTGTGCATATTTTATACTCAGAATTCTGTGTGCTTGCCTGACTTAGTATTTACAATTGATTTTATTTTTGAGATATAATTTATTGATTTTCACTGAAATCAACTGTTACTACTCTTTTTAAATTAATCTGAAACATAACCTTCATAAAGTGGCATGATAGTGCTGGTAAAAATGTCCCCCGTTGCTTTTATCTTCAATGTGTCTCCCTGATCCTCCTTCAATCTGACAGATTTATCTCGTTTTGGTGACACTAAGATATAACGTGTGACTGAAGACGTGCAAAGAATGGAGGTAATGAGGCCTCCTATTCTCAGAATAGTGACATACTAACTGCAGTCATGATTCAATCTCAGGTCTGAAAAGAAAGAGACGAGGTTCTTAGTGTCAAAAAGAAAAAGAAAATGTTTTTTCCCTGTACGTGCTGTCTGTAGTAAGTTAAACTAGTTAAACTGTAATAGTGAACTAAGTTTTTGTGTGTAATTGATATGTGCATCACATTGGTGAAATTAAAACATAATTTTGCCAATATAATGTGGATGTCTTATCATTATTTTATCTTAACTCTTACTGTGCTATTGATCCTAAATCAACAATGAAATCTTATCTCAGCTCTGGTTCTGTTGAAGGCTAATAGGTGTTTAGGAGGCAGTGCATCTTCTGATACAGATTCTGGCTAGAAAATAGGAAAAAGTTTGTGTGGCATGACAGTTGAATCCAGTTCTTTCATGATAAAGGAGATACATGTTGTTTATAACTTTTTCTTTTAACATTTGTAGGTTATTACTGGAGTTCTTCGAAGAGCAGATGAGGTGAGCTTTAAAAAAAAAGTGATTGGATTTTAGCTTTTGATTTTCTGTTCTTTTTACCTCTCTTCCTTCTTTCACTGCTTCTCTCCATTTTCCGTTTTTAAAGCACAAGCTGTGCTTCTGCAAAATAAAAGTCTACCGCCTGGGTCAGAGGGCACTTTTATAACCCTTGGTTACCTGAGAGCATCTAATGACTGTTATTAAGAGTTGCTTAAAATATAAGATTTTCTAATAGAATCTTGTCTTCAAAGAATTCCTCCATAAATAAATTGGGGTACATATTAAATATTAAAATCCATGCAACTGTGAAAATCAATGTACTAGATTTACAGTTATCTACAGGTTTAAATCTAGAAAATACTGAGTAAAAAACTTGCCAAAATATGTTGTGCATGTCTACAAAGTTTTAAAATTCATAAGATTCACTGTTAATGAATACCTAAAATCTGTAATTAAAGAACAATAATATGAATGGAGTCTCACCAATCTCAGGACGATGGTTTTCTCTGGAAGAAGAGTGAGAAGGGAATTCAATTGTATCTTACCATTTTTAGTTTGTTTTTATTTTTTAATTTTTTTGCCTGGTTCAGTCACTCTGCTAAAAAGTTCTTAAATTTATTTATTTCTACGTATATCAAAAAAAAAATTGTAGGCAGCTAGATAATATGGCAACATGTAACATTTGTTAATATGACTTTTTGGGTAGGTGGGTGTTTGTGACAGTGTTTTATACTTTTCTATGATAGTCTAAAATATTTTATAAATAACGAGAAAAAAAGATGGTAATAGATGGTGCTCAAATGTCTGTTTACTTGTAGCATTTAATTAAAGCACTGCTAAGTCATTACCTCCTGCTACTACTTGAACTTCTTACTCTCTTTGCCTTATTTGCACCTGAGATAGTTTATAGAACACTCCCCCTGTCATCAGTCACTGTACAAACATTAGACAGTTTTAGTTGAATGGTGTATACAATTTTTTCAAATAGTGTGACAGCATAATACAGTCCCTGTCACATTAGTGCATTTATGGAACATCTTGAAGACCCTCGTTTTCTTAACCAAATTTCTTTTAACTAGTTCCTGCTGGTGAGTACTCAAATTTTCTTCCAAACTCAAAGTCCTGTTTTTTCCTGGACTGCTGTTCTAGAAACTGCTCTCAGTATTATCAGATGACTATTTGAGGGATCTGCAAAGGGAGGGAGACAGGGATGCGGGTGAGCTACTTTTCATAGTAGACACTTCTGTGCCTCTCTGTTCAGCCTGATTTTCTGACCACGAAAGTAAAGCTTTTTTCTTTTCTTCCCCCAGGCTTCCTTCAGTAAGATTCCCATTGGATTTATCCCACTGGGCCAGACCAGTAGTTTGAGTCACACCCTCTTTGCCGAAAGTGGAAACAAAGTCCAGTAGGTGGTCGATGTGGAGTGGGACCGCTAGGGGGGAGCCTGGGCGTGGAAAGGTCACGAATGGCTGTCGTTTTCTTTTTGACTTTTGATAACTTCAAGCTTCACATCCTTACAGGGTGGACCCCGATCAGAGTTCAAGCTTTCAGTTCATTAGAAAATCTCCCCGTTGGGCTGTGGGGCTCTGTGATCTAACGTGGGGAGACCCCCAGGTAGGCATGGAGATGCTCTTTTGTCAGCAATGAAGACAGCATCCCCGCTCCAAACTGTTCCTGTGTTGTTAGATTCTCTAATGAGGACAGATCTGCTCTGGTGGTTGTTTGCTTCAGGTGTACGTGACGACAAATAGCAAGTCCCTTGTGAAGACCTGAGCCCATAGCCTGGGTTTCATTATCTTGATTTTATGAGTGGCTAAAACGAGCTATAGTCACATCCTTTGGGGAGATGCCTAAAGTGGGAGGCAGTCTGGATTGCTGAAAGTCTAGCCAGATCTTTGTTGAAAATGAAATGTGTTCAGGGGTCAGGAAAATTATCGTTCTTTTCTCTTGAAAGCATGAGGTAAGCCAAACTCTAGTTTTCAGAAGATGGGGATCTTGAATTTGAGTCCCGGCTTTAGCAGTGATTAACAATATAAACTTGAGCAAATTGTTTTAAGAACATCATTTTCTGTTTGGATTTTTTTTCTGTTTTGGGTTTTTGATGGGGCTGAGTTTGTAATTAAGTCAAGGTATGTCCTTGAACAATTTTATATATTTTTTATAAAAAGCCTTGGTCCATATGTCAAACACCAGGTATATTCATAGACATATGTCAGGGCTTTATTAAAATAACTCTCATATTTCAAGCCTGAATCTCCTGGGGAGTGTTTAGCTCTTCACCAATCATCCAGAAGCTTCACAGACAGAGCATTTCATTTGCCATATATTTTAATCCTAGTTTAGAATTTTCTGAAAGCAATAGATTTGACAAACAATTACTTACTCAAACTTTTTTGTTTGAGATAAAACCTGTCTGGTCAAGACATGGTTACTTGGTTATGGACTTTTCTCTCATGTCAGTGTAGATTATTTGAACTACTTTGTTAACACTTCTGAATATGTTGGTGATCCAGGGAGAGAGGATTCTCCAAGTCCCCTGCCTATCCAAAGCCAATTTACATGCAGTGTGGCAATGCTCAAGGTCTCAGGTAGTCTTCAGTCCTTTCGGAGCTGATTTCCTCCTGTAGTTAAACTCATGTTGTTGCTGCTTCTATTTATAATTTAAAGATTTATAAAACTTAATTTACAAACATGCCCCCGGGCTCTTAGGTAATTAAGTCTGCTCTGGCTTCAGAAGTTTGTAGACCTTACATGGCAGATGCCTAAGACTATTTAAAAGAACAAAACTTTGCTTTTTGCACTGTCAAGATTTGTTGTACCATAATTACTACAGAAGAAAAGAATCTTGAATTTGTAATATTGTAGGGAAATAAGCCTAAAAAATAGCTGGTCCATGCTATAGTGCTGCTTTATTTAGAGCTTTTTGAAGAAAGATAAATTTAGGTTGCTTTTTAACTGTCTTCTGCCAAGCAATTAAAAAATATATATATATGAAATGACTTTTCAGTTGCATCTTTTTTTAAAGGTCACTTCCTAAACCTCTTCTGTGTGCTAGGTCCTGCTCGCAAGTGTGGTTGGTGCCTTTGGTTTCTAGTAGCTTCCTTCAGAATTAAACCTGTGATGGTGCCCTCACTTGAATCTCATCTTAAAAACTGCTACCTGCTTCCCCAATCAGGACTCCACCACTTCTGTATTGGAGGGAGAAAAATGAGATAAAAGACATGTTGATACAGACCTATAAGAAAGTAAAACAGGCATTCTTATGCTTCAACTTGCTAACCAGGGTTCCCAGAATGTTGTAATCTAAGCATTTGAGTTAATGTGTTGGGATTTTAAAGGCTCTTAGATTGTGCCTAACTTTGTTAGAAACTCCAGAGTCAATGGCCCTGATTGCTGAGCTAGGGTGTCCTTTTAATAAGTCTGATCACACTGGTGGGAGGCCCATAGAGCCACATGTCAGGTGTGAGTTGCCCTTTGGGATCTGTGGATATCCATTTGGTACATCCACATCAGCCTCACCAGCTGAAGAGAACTCACCTTTGCAGTAAGACCTGAAGCCAGATTTTGTGTGGCCACGTGCTGGCTCAGTTCTCTAGGAATTTAATCTGAGTCTGTTTCCATACCCGTGCTTACCGAATGTGCAGTAATAGGACTTAACTTGAAGATTGTTAGAAAACTAAAAGGAGGACTAGTTAGGTAAATGTGTAATTATGCCTAGTGAACCACTTGATATGTTGAAGACTGTATGTTTCCTGAAATTCATTTAGGATGGGAAATGGTAAATAACAAGTAGACTAGACAGTACTGATTCTAGATTCTAATTGCAATACACATAAACAAAAGAGGTGACCCTTTATACTGTTGTTATTTCACCTAGAAAATTATGTTTAAAAAAAACAAAGAACATTTGGGCCACCCCTGGTGGCACAGCGGTTGAGCACTGGGCTGTGAGGCTGCCCGCAGCCTCTGCAGCGCCGATTCGTTCCCCGGGCCGCTGGCGAGGGTCCCACAAAAAAAAAAAAAAAAAAAAAAAAAAAAAACACATTTTATAGGTAATCTAGTCACTTCTTAATGGAAAGGTGAGTTTTTCCCCAGTTCACATTATTAAGCAGAAATGTACATAGTGGATTAGATTAGTAAGGCCATATTGGGGGAGAAACTACGCTGGCTTGAGTTGAAGTTAAAGTACAGTTGAAATTAAAGTACAGTTGGGAGTGGTGAATTGTGCAGGAAAGGCCATGGAGGAACTTTTTGGGTGTTATAAATGGTCATAGTTAAGGTTAGGTCATGTGGTCACAACTAACTAAGGCATCTGCCAACATTCATAGAATATATGCCTACAAGGATGACATTTAGTGTGTGTAAGTTATGTCTCAAAAATATGATTTTAAAAAAGAAGTTAAATTAGCAAACTAATTCTTTCCAACTTGGGTAATTCTGCCTGTGTCAGTGAGCACTGGGAGGCGCTGTTAGTCTCTCCTCACTTTGGGTCACACTGATATGGACCTTCTGAGGTTTCTCTTTCTCATGCTTCCCTCTAATCACCTACAGACTCTTGTACCCTGCCATTAAATTCACTCACTTTGGTACTTTGAGTATCAGTCTTGTTCGTTCTTCTCGGAGAGCAGTTATCTTATTTTCTAGCCACATGTTGATTCAGTATTTCTTTGGTTGACTGCTGTGTATTTGTGTCACCTGACACTGGGTCGCATTAGTGTGGACACCAGAGCTGCTTGGCCTGGCAGGTTCGCACACTCTGAATGGGTGTCGGCAGGACATGCTCTGCTGCTGTAGACAGGAACAGTCTACAGCCTCTAAGTAATCCTGAGGAATAAGAATTATGTCTTGGGTCCTGAATTACGTTTTGCTAAGACAACACCAGCAAATCCTGTCTTTTAGTTACTCTTCAGGTTGTTGGAGTAAAAAAGAAATTTTGTTTTTTGAAGTACTTGAATTTCTTATAGCGAATGAATGTTGTCCTATTACTAAAGTGTCATCAATCCAGTCATAAGAGTCAGGTCCCTGTAGAGAGTCACTAAACATTGAGTGGATAAAGGACTGTGCTTGTATAAACTCTGACAAAGCCTTCCCTTTGAACTGCTTTTAGAATCTTCCATTGTGTTTGTATCAGTAACCCTTTTACACTCTGGCCTGCTCTCTTGCAGTATTTGGAAGGAATATGTCTTTCCTCATCCAACTGTTAGTGCTCTGGGCAGGAATGGGGTGTGTGTGTGTGAGAGAGAATGTGGGTGGGTGGGGGGAGTGTGTGTGTGTGTGTGTGTGTGTGTGTCAATGTGCATGGGTGTGGTGAGGGGAGGTGCTGCTTATTTTTCACACGTGACTGTTTCCTTCTTATCTTTCAGACACATTACAGACGCCACACTTGCCATTGTGAAAGGAGAGACAGTTCCACTTGATGTCTTGCGGATCAAGGTAAAGTCTTTTCTTCAGAGTTTGAAAAAAATTTACGGAGTGGTGAATCTAGGTAATAACCATCAATAATGCTCCTTAGACATTTAAAAATGTTTTGGCTTGACTTTTTTCCAAAATAAAAATTTGGCAGGCGAGAAGACCCAATAGCTATTCTGGATTCTTGATGAGAATCCTTTCTCAAAAAAGAATTTAATTCCTAGGGAAAAAAATATTCTCACTTCGATAATCGCTAAGCAGTTATTCCTTCATCATCTAAAGCCCTCCCTCTGCCCCTTAGAGGGTGGATCCCTAAGACTGAACCACAAAGCTAAGTGATGATATGCTCAAGTTTGACCTTAAAATGTACCAGCTACATTCATGGTGTACTCCCAAGATTTTGCATGCATTCGATTTCCTGATACCTTGAAAGGACGTTCCACATCGTGTCCTGTTTCCAACCTTCAGCCCCTACCTGTACTGTTAGTTGCATGGCCTTTGCTGTGGGCGTATTCATATTTGGTGGAGCCACAAGCTGCACCTGTTCCTTCTTCATGCAGCGATCTGGACCGACCTCATTAGTCATGATAAAAGTGATTTAAATTGCAGTTGATTCTTCAGCATATAATAAAGCTAAATCATTCTCACAAAATGAAAGGGCTATGCTGAAAAAAATTCTAGCCAAGTGAAAGCACTCCAGAGAATCATCTATAGGATATTATTTTTAAGTATTGCTATTAGCAAATGATGTAAATTAGAATATAGTTCCTAAGAAATGAGTGATTTAGTGCTTCTTATGTATGTGTTAGAAGTAATACATTCCAGAGAAATTAGAATTTAGCTGGAAATTCTTGACTCTGCTTGTATTGAAACATCTCTTTTCTCCTTTGTCTTTTTCTTTCAAATACTCTGATCTTGTGCACTGATGAAGCCGGTATCAAATTTACCAGAGGCTCTGTATATTGATGACAGCCGAGGGAGCAAAAAACTTTTAAAATCAATTCCTAGAAAACATAGTACAGCCACCTCTGCTGTAATTTCTGAGGCTCCCAGCTAAGTTGAATTTGTTTTCTCTTTTTTCCTTATTTCTAGAAATTGCTTACAGAATGGAGGGGAAAGTACTATAGATGAAACCTAATACCAGATTTCTCCTCTTCAGAAAAACAAACCCAAATCCAATTGAATGTGTAACAAAAGATTCTCCAAAGAGAAAGGAAGTCATCCTTGGAAACTATAACAATGCTTTATATTTAGCTTTTTCACTCTTAAATGTGCTTTCCCATCTCAGACTTCCAGCTCAGTGAGGCAAGATGTGTACTAGTATCTTCATTTGACAGGGGAAAAGTCAAGTCATCTCATCACATGGCTAGTTATGCTGGATATGAAGATTTCCCTCCTTGTATCCATTGCTTTTTCCATTTCACTGGTCTCACTCTTGGCTCTATCCCATGATTTTTTTTTTTAAAGGACATTCTTTCCCATATAGATAACTGGAATGCCTAGAACTTGACTTTAAAATTACTGCCGAAAAGAGTTATTTCTGGTTCTTTCTTTTTGCTCTTCTGCTTGGACACTTTTAGACTCTGACAACCCAGAACAAGATGTGACAAAAACAGGAGAGGTGGTGGAGTTGGGGTGTCTCCCTCTGCTCTATCTGTCATTCCTGGCTAATTACTCGGCTTCTTGCCATTGACAGCTTGATCATCCTCTTAGATCATCCTCTTAGATAAAGTTTGCTTATATTGCTTCATCTAAAATTCCTAAAATTCTTAGATTAGGAAGCTATCGAGTTGACGGGAATTGTTTTTCTTTTTTGCTGTTCCTTAAGCTTGTGTTCAGCCAGCTCTCGCAGTTATTTTCCTCTGCAGACAGTTGCCCTTTCCTCTTGCCAGGGCAGTCTGTAATTGGGTAGCAGACTGCTTTGGCTGTTACGCGCTGGCTGTGCACCTGCCCTTCTGTTTTTGTTTTTGTTGACTGACCCATCAGGCCCATCTCACAGTCTGCCTGCCCAGACACAGTGGTCCTTGATCTGAGGGCTGCTGCTCTGGCCTTCTGCCCTTGCTGCGGTCCCCAGGGTTGCTGTGCCCGGCCAGGGACCAGTCCCTCCATCATCTTTTCTGAATCCTGAGGGCTCTGTGCCCATCTGGCTGTTAGTTGGCTTCTCTAGATTTGTTCACATACATTATGCCACGGCTGCTCATTTCCTGTCATCCAAAACCATTCCTGGCCCTTGTTAAGCTATGGCACCCTAACGAGTAGAGCCTTGAGGTTACAGAACTTTTCGGTTAATCATGACGGAATGTTCCTCAAATAAGCCCCCCCCCCCCCCCATGAAGAAAGGGAACAGTCTCAGAGCAGTAGTCAGGAGGTCCGTGTGCTTATCTCGGCACTTCTTGCTTGCACAGCGTGCTTTAGCAGCATTTCCCAGGGAATATAGTCGTGCAAGATGTCTCCTAGAGAAGGGAGTTAGCCACTCAGGAAGCTGTATATTTCTGCTTTGGGAAATTTATAATGTGCATATAAAATCTATAAAAATTATAATGTATATTATCATGTTAGACTCTTAAGAAGGATTGCGGTAGGGCCTCCCCGGTGGCACAGTGGTTAAGCGCTGGGTTGCGAAGCTGCCCACAGCCTCTGCAGTGCCAGTTTTTCCCCGGCCGCTGGGTGAGGGTCCCACATGGTGCACAGACCTCTCCTGCCGCTCGCTGTTCCCCTCAGCAGTGTACTTCGTCAGTCTGCCTGTTCTGCTCCCTGCTCTGGCTCTGGTGCATTCTCTTACCCTCCCGCGCTTCTGACTGTACCAATGCTTGAATAAATAAATATTTAAAAAAAAGGATTGCGGTAAACATCCTTCAAATCAAATAATTTTGGTGTCTCCCAACTTAATTCACCATGGAATCTTCTATCGTTATCAGACATGAAGCCTATTAAGATTTTATGGAACTCTGGGGAAGATGCTTCTGTAGATACAGCCAACTTGGTGTTGCTCTTCTCCCTTGGGCCAGAATGCCCCTGGTTCTCTCCTTCTCTTTGCCGCCACCTCTCTCCCCAGCCTTCTCCAGTCTACGTTCTTAACATTTAAATCCATGTTTCCGGATCATCCCTCTCCTTTGGACCCCTCCCCCCTTCACACAGTCCTGCTGGCTCTGGACTGATGACATAACACCTGACAAGTCTCTCTTCTTGATCCTGCTGCCTTATGTTGACTGCTGCATTATGCTCGATCCCGCGGCAGTAGGTTGGGACTGTCTGCGTCTGGCACATCCACAGTGCCAGTGTGAGGGGCCTCGCTGTTGGCTCCCGCTCTACATTCTCGAAGTTCCCTTTTCCGTGTGCAGCAGGTCCAGAGAAGCTCAGCTAGTGCTTGAGCAGACACGCAGCCAAGGAGGGAGCGGCCGTGTCTGTACTTGTCAGCTGCCCCTCTCCAGTGTGTGATTCTCCTCGAAACCCCTCACTTGCTCTGGATCTACTGGGAAAGGGAGGAGGGGAGGGATAGAATTGAAATTGCGGGGAAGCCCCCTTTCCTGAGGAGAAGCCTTAGCATGCGCATTCTAGGTCAACAACTTGGGGCTTCTCTCCAGCTCCTGATCTGCTCATACTAGATACAGTGATGCATGGTGGGGATCCAGCTGGATCCACACCCAGGTTCCATGGAGTAGTATTTGGCATATGGCAGCTTTCTTGAGAAAGTGGGGGTGCTCTTGGGCTGAAGCTGCAATTCTGAGCTACAGAGAAAGCCCTTTTCAGAATCCTGGCGCATATATTTGTACTTGGAGAATGGTCCATCATGGAGAACAAACTTTTGTGTTGTTTGTAGATCGTTTAATTCATTAAAAACTCACTGATTTTCAGACGCAGTATGTGGCCAGAAAGCACTGGACTAAATGTGAATCATTTTATTCTGACTTATTAGGATAAATGCCTGACTGTATTTTAAGATATTCAGGTGAAACATTCTTGAGTGCCAGGCTCCTGATCTTGCTGAGAACTCTTGGCCCTCTACAGAGAATGCAGGCTAAATGACCTTTGCCTTGAACAGGGGAGAACATCCTGGCTGATGCAACTATTTGTCAGATGAGAACCAGCAGTTCAATACTCCTGATTTAGAGTCTGAAGTACAATAATAAGTCCCTTACCAGCAGATTCGTGAGACTTGACATAGGAACATTACTTCCATCTCACAATGCAGCATATTCAAGCACTTTCACTCAGTACTTGTTTAAAAATTTAAGAAATTAACTATGTAAAAGTAGGAAATGAACAGTTGCGGGGAACTTATCTAGAGAATTCAAAGTTATTATAATCATTAATTTAAATTGAATGCATTTAATTTCCAGGGTGAAAAGGAACAACCTGTGTTTGCAATGACGGGTCTTCGGTGGGGATCCTTCAGAGATGCTGGCGTCACAGTTAGCAAGTAAAGGATTACTCTGTTGATGTGTGATGATTTCTTTTTTAAATCGTATCTGTCCCTGTCTTTGAGGTTTGTCTACAGAGATCTTCTCATAAGGCACACCGTGGGCCTAGAGGTTGAAGGATGTATGAATAATGGAGGGAGAAGTTTCTGTCTTACATGCACGAAGGTTGAGGGAACCTCTGGTCACCTCCATACTGGCTTGGTGGTAGTTATGGAGGAGTCCATCTTGTGTGTAGTCACGGTGTTTGAGCAGGGGTTAGGTTCCAGCTAGACTGGAAGGGGTCTCAAATTGGAGTCACCCTGCAGCCTGCTTAGTGGGTACTCAGCAAGAGGCAGGGTCTCGGTCTTATGGAGTGTTCACAAGGCTGGTAAGAAGATACCCCACCCCCTTAGAGCTGCTTGAGAGACCTCAGCTCAGAGAAGAAAGGAGGGCAGATCTGGCCCTGTTGCAAGATGGGAGAAACCAGCTGTTGAGGAGGTTAACTGAAGGACCCCACTAACTTCTCATGGAAACGAACTTATTTTTGAAGCGTTCACTGTGTAAAATCAAAGTATTGACTTGGGGTGGGGGAGGGGATGCCAAGCTCTGTTTGATGTGGAGAAGGGGCGTAGGCAGGGGCTTCCTCTGAAGGAAACACCAAGTAAAATTCACTTTGTGTCTGTGGGTGTTGCTTTTCCTTCACCTTCCTTAAGACTTAGGGCTTATAATTTTAGTATAGTTTAAGTGATGCAATTGGTTTCACACACAGCTTTTATCAAGAAACCCCTCTTTCACTTCAGACTTCCTGCCACACATCTTTACAGAAATGTCTCTCACTTGTTCATCTCTGTTATTCCTGTTAATGAGGTACCTGACAGTACCCTGTCAAGAGAGAACTTTGACTGTTATATTACACAGAGTTCTTTACTATTTCACATCTTTTATTTGTAAGTATCACTACAGTTATGATTATCTTGATTCCACAAGTCCCCTTGCGTTCCGTCTGTAAGCTCAGATTCTAGTAGTTCACCGAGAGGACTTGCTTTGTTTTCCCTGAGAGGCTGGTGAGAACAAGCTGCTTGTCCAAATGTGTTAACCAACAATTAAGCATAAATACAGGCTCAGGACTATCTCACACACTTGCCCATAGTTTGATTGACTTTTGAACAATGAATTTGAAATTTTTGGTTGTCGTTATCTAATATTTCCACTAACACTACTCTCTGAGTTGCTCTGTGTGTTACTATTGATGATTTGCTATTGGAGAGATGAAGGGGGAACTATGACTAATTTAGAAATAATTGGCATGTTTGTCTATATAGCAAACCAGGAAAAGAAGCAAACTGTTAATTAATAATTAATAATTAATTGATCCAGGCCCTCATTGGGAAGGAACATCACAGTTCTGCAATCCTTGTTGAGATAAAGCTGAACTCCTTGTTCCGGCATTCAAGGCCTGACGTAACCATCACGTGCCTACGGTTGTATCTTGACCTCTAGGCCTTTGCTCTGGCCCTTAACTGTGTTTCCATACATGTGCTGCTCCTCTTGCCTAGAATGGTTTCCTTCCCTCCTCCATGGATCTGACCCCAACCCTCATTCAAGCTCTGTCCTTCCTTTGTTCTTGTGCCCGCTCCCTACTGCTCCAGGGAGTGGCTGCTCCAGGATTTTAGGCTTCGGTGACTTCCGGTCCCTTCTTGCCTCCCCCAACCAGTAAAGAGTGTTCCATTTTTACTCTGTCATCAGTAGAGAGTCATTTGTTGTTCTCTGTGACCTTACTGGACCTTATTTCCTCAAATTATCAGCCCTTGAAGGTAGGAACTTTATACTCCCTATTTCTTCTGTTCCCTCCCTGTGCATAGTAAGTTCTAAGTAAGTGCATACTGATTAGTTTCACATAAGGCGCAGTTAAGATGGGATGGTGGGGGAAAAAAAAAAGATGGGATGGTGGGGGAAAAAAAAAGATGGGATGGTGGGTGACAGGTAAGCTTTAAGAGGAGAATCTATGCCACTTTTCTCATTCCAACTAGACATCTCTTATTAGTAGCTTTTATGTATTTAGCCATATGAAGTAGACTCTCTTCACTCCCAGATTTAACATTTTCCATTTTAAAGCTGCATAACATGAGTAATGTGAAATTATGCTCATTCACAAATTGTAATTGTATGTTTGTGTGTGGCAAGAACTTGATGTGCAGGGTTCAGGCATTCAGCTTTTGCGTATCACATCGAATCACCCAGCATCTGCATCTCATTGTGGCTTTGTCGTTTCCTACTCATTGCGCTTCTGAATGTATACTCAACTATATTCTCTGGTTGGGAGTATATATTATAGTGGCACTTGTGAATTTAGAGATTCAAGGAGAGTGATTATATATCTCTTGTAAATTGCAAGGATCTATCCCAGGTATAGCTAATTATGGACTGTTTGACATGGCATTGAAATGCAGATTAAAAGCTTACAGAAACCTCATAGTAGAAGTGTAATTCTAACCTGTGTCTGTCCTGAATGGTCTCTATCAAGTCAATAGTTCTTTTAATATTCTAATTAGATTTTTATCTTGATCTTTCTCAGATACTGGTATCTTGGGCCTCTAAAAACCAAAGCAGCTCACTTTTTCAGCACTCTTAAGGTAAATACAATGTACAATGTAGAAATTTGCTCAATCTTATTTTGCTTTTACTTGCTGATATGTGTATTTGGATTTTTATTTTTGTAATTCCTTGCTACAGGTGTATGTGATTAGCTTCAGTACTAAAATGGGGCAAATTTATTTATATAAATGTAGAAATCATGCATGCTGTTTTGATAAACAGACACCTTCATCTGCCAACTCATTCTCCATTCCAAACCCATTTTCTCTTTAATATTCCACTTTCATTCACTGCCTCTTTTCAGACACACCTTGAACAGAATGACCTCCATATCATCAATTATTTGTAAATGTGTCTACATTAGCATCTGGAAATGAAGATTTGCATCTGAATATACCAAATCATACAGGCACAGGTATCCTGTAGCAGGTTTCAAACTGTGCTAGCCAAATATGGGTAGCAGTTAGTCTCCTCCTTGGCACAGACAGAGAATGTTTCCATCCTCAGAGGAAGTCCCATCAGAGGGTGCTGCCGTAGACCATACCCTGAGACGTGGTGGCACTGAGAAAAGCTGAACGATGTATATTAGTGACAATACTAATAGAAAAGTCATCCTTCTGTGTGGACTAGATGCCATCGTCATCTTTTCTGTAAAAGCACAGTTTGGCCAGTTTGAAAGTTGGCAGATGAAATTTGAATGTAGTGAAAAAAGTTACTATTTAAATTATCGGGTGTTTTTCTAATTATAAAATCGACATATGTCCTTTGGAAAACATAGTTCCCTTCTTCCTCTAAATAAAACTCCAGTTGGATTAAAGAATTAAATCTAAAAAATAAACCACTGATGTGCTAGAGGTAGTCAGTAGACGTGATTATTAAAATCAACTTGGGAAGGGCAAAGTCCTTTCTAAACTGATACAAACTTTATTAGTAAAATACGTTATTGCTATTGTTCCAAGGAATGATTTCATTGGCAGAGTAATGAGTGAGTGCATTTAGGAAGAAATGCTTACTTTAATTTGTGGAATCTGAAGAAAATAAGCTGTCCCCAGTGTTTCTTCAGCAATTACTGAATATCCCTAGTGTGGCAGCTGGCTGTATGCCTGGAATCAAAGTCAAATGAGACAGATGTCCTGCCCTCAAGGAGTGCTCATGCACGGGGGTTGGGGGCGGTGGGGAGATACCAGTGAATCTGCAAGAGCTATAAGAAGACTGGAGAGTCCAGCCTGGGGCAGGCGTTTCTGGCTGACTGTCAATTTTGAAATAGGCAGGACTGGATGGAGGGAATTCCAGTGGCGGGCGGAGGGGGGGGGGGCAGGATGTGTGAAGTCACAGAGGGGGGACATGGGCAGTAACTGTGGCCAATACTGAAGACTGGCAGGAGGCTTGAGGTTAGAGAGGACAGATTATATGGCAGATCTGACTTTCTTCATGAAAGCACTTCGTCAGGGCAATGATATGAACAGATTGGCATTTTAGGGAAATTGTCGGGCAAAGACATCAGATAGAAGGTTGTTAGAGTAACCTGGTGAGAAGTGATGAGGTGTACACTCAATAACAGTGAGTATTGACAGGGATGGATTAAAGAGATGTTGAGGTAGAACCCTCAGAAGTTGGAAGGAGAGTATAGGATTCCCAGATTGCTGGTTTGAAGGATTAGAGTTGGGTAACTACAGTCTTTTATTAATGTTGATAATATTAGAGTAAAATCAAATTTGTGACTACAGATAAAAATTTCAGTTGGGCACATACTGAGTTTAATACACCTTTGGGACAGACAGGTGGAGCTACAACTGCGACTTAGGTCTGGAATTGAGCAGAGAGATAGTTAAATGTCTTAAGCGTCCGCATGGCATTAAAACTATGGGTTTGATGAAGTTACCAGTGAGAACAGGTAGCCAGGGCTAGCCCTAAGGAACGTAAACAGTTCGAGTCAGAGAAGACACTGAGAACAGCTGAGAAAATCTAGGAGACTCTGAGCAAAAAATGGAAGCAAATTCCGAAAAGGAAAGATTTCAAGCAGTATCAGAGCGCGAAGACAGAAAGCAGCATCCATTGAATTTGGCAACCTCTGAAGGTTTGCCAGCCTCCTGGGGGAGGGACCGAAGCTGCATTGAAGAAAGCCAAAGAATAAATGGGAGCGCGATGGCGACAGCGAGGGGAAACCACGCTGTCACGGAAGCGTCACCTTGAAGGAAGGAGATGGAACTGGGGGGGGAAGGTAGTGAGGGAGGCGCGTCTGCGGAGTGTCTTGTTTTTCTCGTTGGAGGGACAGTCATGTCTTTATGCGAAGCAGAAGGATTAAAAAGGATGGGAGAGGCGAAAGGAGACAGCATGGGCAGAGGGCACGGGGGAGCTTGGAGCGGGGGAAGGGACACCTGTTTCCTTGAGTCGGGAGAGCAGTAAAGGAGAGGTGCAGATGAAAACCAGTGTGAGACTTCAGGAGGTTCTTCAGTCTGTCCTGATACTCGGTGAGGTGTCGGAAGCAAGGTGGCCAGTTAGAAGTGAGGCGATGAGGGCCCGGGGGGTTGAAGAGAGATGAAAGGAGGGAGGTTTAAGGGGTCTCAAGTAGCACCGATACCAAGAATTGGCTGGGACACTGACACGCTCCTTTGGGGGATCTTTTCTCCTGTATCAATACTCCACGGGAGTAAGAAGTACAGAAACCCAGTGACAAGGTTGACCTGGATTTGGGGTGCTCCAGGGGACAATGATGGAAGGGTGAAGACACAGGAAGGCTAAGAATAATGAAGAGAGATTTAAAGTTTTTGAGTTGATTGGGCACTTGGGTGGTCAGGGACGGGAATTCCCAGTGTGATGAGAACTTGGTGTGGTTGGGATTTCCCAGCATACTGCCCCTCTCTTCCTCTTCCGAGTTTGAGCCAAGTTATAAAAATAAATAGGACCCAGACAGATGGAGATCAGAACATGAGCTTTGTAAATGGCAGCGGGAGGGAGGGACGCAGCTTAAATATGGAGTCACAGGCCGATTTTCTAGCACTCCGGATTGAATTACCCACTGACACGGCTCCTTCGGGGCAGCCGCAGCGGATGTGCAAGGCCCTGACAGGCACTTTCTGAGAGAGGGCGGTGAGAGCCAGAGCGGGGCAGGGGCTCCCCAGTGGTCTTTCTGCGCTTGGGGAGGAGTGAGGGAGCAAGAGGGTGGCGTCTTACTCATGTGTGATAGCTGTTGCTCGCGTGACCGTTGTCACTCTTGTAGCTCACGCCATGGAAACTCCAGCAGACTGGCTCATCCCAAGAGAACCAGAAGAGTAGGAGAGTGGAGGGTGTGGCTGGAGAGGAGCATGCCGAGGTTTTAGACTTGCCAGCTGAGTAGTTCTGGGTAACAGTAAGGACCAGGATGTGGCCACGGAAGCGGGCAGCCATGGTGGTTTGGAGGTGATGCCAAGGGCTGAGGCAAGGCGTTGATTGAATTATTCCTGTGAAGTTGATGTGACTCGACAGGACACTGGACTTGGGTGTCAGGAAGTAGATGGAGACGGAGAGAGTGAGAATGTGAACTTTGAGGCAGGACTAAGAGCTTAGGGCTGCAAAGCTGGGCCAAACCATTTTGGCCTCTGCCCCCCTGTGAGTCCAGAGGGAAGCAGGTATTTAATGCCGTTTTATCAATTCCATTTTTGTGTCATCGGCTGCAAACAAGAGATACTTGGATCGTGAAATGAGTCCACTTTGTGTCCTTTCTGTCCTATGTTAGGGAGACCGTTGGGCACTGTAATCCCTAAGGTCATGGTTTGCTAGAGAGGCAAGAAAGGCGGAGTTGAGTTGTCTGTGCTCCAAATTAGACATAATTCCATCCAGTGAGGAGAGGTTCCTGGTGGCTTTCTAGCATATATAGGTGGAATACTAAATTTGGCAGAGAGGAACTTCCAGAGTCTGGGATTATGTGTGCATGACCAGTTTTCTCTTGTCTTACTGAAAGGAGTGGCCTCAGACACATCAGGCCTGTATTTCGTACACGGGACCTACGGAGAGACCCCCCAGTGGAACGGCGGAGACCTCCCCAAGGCCCTCCCTGTACAGGAGGATACTGCGCAGGCTTGCGTCCTACTGGGCCCAGCCGCAAGACGGTGAGCAGTGGAGACCAGAGACCGCCCCACACATGAGCCTTAATAGAGCAGGGGCAGCCTCAAGGACCACAGAATTCAGTCCCTGTGCCCCTCAGAGCATGGCCAGACCAGCACGGGGTCCCAGGGGAGGAGGCAGCCTATATGGCTTGTGACAAAGGGCTCTTGTTTTGTGTCACGGACCTTCCTGTGACTGTGGTGCCTTGGTAGCTGTCCCGGGCAGTGAGCTTCTGTTTCAAGCCTGGCTCTTTATGTTTACTTGAGGAGTATGAAGTAAAGCTAAGGTGGCCAAGTCTCCGGACGAGCTTAGGGGCTGCGCTGAGCAGCTGGAGGCTACCGTGGTAGAGTGAGGTGTTGCTGGACGAGACTGACCTGCATCTCATTCACACAGCCCTCTCCCAGAAGGTGAGGCCGGAGGACTGGAAGGAAATGCAACTGTCCACCATCGAACTGTCCATCACCACACGCAACAGCCATCTTGACCTTACGGTAAGCGAGCGTTCTCATAGGAAAAGCGTTGGGTATCTGGGGAAAGTGATGTGGTCTACACACTTTTCTCCTAATTCAGTATTTTGTTTTCACCCAGTGGGGTTAGAGAGGAAAGGGGGGTGCAGTGTGCCCTTGAGGGATGAGAGCAATGAGAAGAGACAGTGGCCTGCGGGCAGCAGGGCCTGGTCTGGGTGCTGTGGAATAGCCGCACACACTCTGCCCTCAAAACTAAGGGCAAAAGAGCTTTAGAAACAGGCACAGGAGGAAGAAATTGTGGAACCTTTACTTGAGTAAATATCCATTATTTTTGTGACTGTGTTTAACATGTCAAACATTTCCTGCCCAGGAGAAACATGTATCTACTTCTACATTTTGGTATCTATATTTACAATTTTTTTGGCTCTGGGCTATTGACGTGCCCTGTCCACTACCATAGCCACTAGCTACACCTGGCCATTTCGGTTTAATTAGAATGATGTTAAAAACTCATTTCTTCAGTCACAGGGGCCACATCTCAAGGGCTCGGTAGCCAGGTGGCTGGTGGCCGCGGTGTTGGCACCGTGTGTGCCGCAGGCTCTGCTGTAGCTGCTGCTCTAGACGACCCCAAAAACCCAGCAGAACTGGGCTGGTGGTACACTGGTCGCCCCCTGCTTCCATGTGGCCCACATGCCAAGAAGTAATTTCCCCCTTTTAAATGATTGGAAGAAAATCAAAAGTAAAATAGCTTGTCATCCTTGACATTCAAGTGTCAGTATCCATAAACACAGCGTCATGGGAGCAAAGCCACTGCCTGTGCCGTGTCCAGGCCGCAGTGCAGGGTGGGGAGCTTGCAACAGACCATGTGGCCTGAAAGCCCAAACAGTTACTGACAGAGAAAAAACCGTGTAAATGAGAATGCCATAGGAAGGTTATCCTTAACGGGACTAATTGCTACGTTCAGTTTTCATGCACATACAAGTACTCTGTTCATAATGGATCTGAGTCTGCAAATTGGCACATGCAGCTGAATGTATGCGTGTGGTGAGATGCGTGTGGAGAGAGGCTTGATTCCAGTATTAATATTCAGAGTGATTTCTCATTAATGCATGTCCATTGCAAACCATTTGGATAGCATAGCTCCCTTCTGTTTAATTCCAGTTGGATTAAAGAGTTAAATGTAAATACATGAAACCATTAAAGCGTTGGAGTGAAAGCTGATTAGCAGTATAAACTTGGATGGGACAGGCCTTTCTTAGCCTGGCAGCTGAGGCGAAAGTCATGTTGATATTTTTGTGTACTTATGCAAATTTTTAATGACAAATTGGGGGACATACTAGGTGACAGACCAGAAGTTAATAGCCTTCCTTTGTAAGAAACTCTTAGGGTAAATCAGTAAGAAATGAGCAAAGGAGTAATACACAACAGGAAAATGGTAGGACTAGGAAATCACAAAGGAAATAAACATGAAAAATAAGATAGATGTTTGCTGAGTATTGGCTGCATGCTGGGCCCTGTCCTAAGGATTTTCCAGAATCTCACCTCTTGTTTTCATCCTACCTACATTATGAGGTTGATAGAACTTTTGTCTGCATTTTATAGGTTAGGAAACAAAAGCTTTCAGCATCAAAGAAATACAAATTAAAGTAGTAACTACCACACTGTCATATATTAAAAAGTGTGCTTGTGGTCGCTGTTTCTCTGATGGGAATATAAATCTGAGCACCCTTTCTCAATGGTGTCTTCGCATTATGTGTGAAGCTTCTAGAATATGAGCCTACTCTTGGTCCTGTTTGGTATGTTTCTGGGAATTTATCTTAAAGAAATCAGATGAATACGTAATGTAGGCAGTCCCTTACTTTCTAACATAATGGATTCTGAAAACACTGGTGAAAGTGAATATATTAAGGTTTAAAAAAAATACTGTTCCAGAGGAATTTAAAAAAGATAAGATTTCTAATTATACATTTTCTTTATACCCAATAGCTGATAGTAGGTATTTCCAGTATTTGTTATGTTCTTTAACCTTGTGCTTTTCTCTGATGATTGCAAACCAATGAATGGGTTGAATTCAGTGAGTAGGTGATTGCAGTTCAAGATTAGCCACATTCACAATGCCGAGTGCTGTTTATCTTTGTGACAATTATGAAAGGAGGTGACACTGCTGCTTATCGCTCGTCTCAGCACATTCATTTGCTTTTCTCCACACCTCTTTATAAAAATAAAAGCAAATGCAGTACAATATTCAAAGACAATGAAGCTACCATGCAGTAGCTCAAAATGTTCATTTTTCATTAAAAAAAAAAAAAGTATATTCACAATCTAAGAGGCTTTTGGGGTGTGGACTCTATGAAAATTAGCATCTCCTGTACAGCTGTGTTCCCTGTCTAATAACAAAAAACATGAAACAAACTGATGAGGCGACTGATTAAATACACCTTATATGTGAATTTAAAATCTCTCGGTATTTACTGACCTAGAAAAATGTTCCTATATTGTTAAAGGAAAGACTAGGTTAAAATGACATGTATCAGCTGGTTCCATTTTTATTTTAAAGATAAATACTCCCACCTACAATTGAATTTTGTGAATGATGGAGGCAAGGCTCCAGCTTTATACTCTTTCCAAATAGAAAGCAGTTGTCCAAGCACCTTTTACTAAAATGTCCACCCCATCCCCGATCTGCAGTAAGAGCCGTGTCACGTGTCCAGTGTCTGTGCGCGCGGAAGTGTGTCTACGGCTGTTTCTGTTGGCTACACTAGTACTATGCCTGTCTCAACAGTGTTTTATAATAAGTCCCTGTTTTTCTTCTTTGCATTTCTTGGTTATTCTTCCTCTTTCACTGTAAGCATTAGAATGTTTATTGAGCTCCACATAAATATGTTATAATATTGATCAAGATTACATTGACCTTGTTGATCAATTTGAAGAAAAATGACATTTCTACAACATCGGCTATTACATCAATGTGTCATAGCTCTTCATTTATTGAGGTCTTAAATGTCTTTTAATGAATTTTTATAATTTTCTCTGTCACATTCTGTTTCTTGCTGGCTACCTTAATTTTTTATGCTGTTGTAAACAGTATCTTGAAATTTCTTTTTTTTAAATATTGATTTAGCAGATGGGCATGTAACTGACTTTATGTTAATGGTGAATTAGCAACCTAACTAAATTCTTACTAATTTTATCTGTGGATTTGATTTTTCTATAGATGTAGTCTTATCAGCTACAAATAGTGCAAGTTTTGTTTTTTTTCCCTTTCAAATACTCAGCTTCTACTCTTTCATCTTAACCATGTTCGCTAGGACGGCAGCACAGTGCTGAGTGGTAGTGGATATAGGTGGTGTCATCGTCTTATTTAGAGGTTTTGTGTGCTAGTCCCTGACAGTGAGTCAAAAAGGAGTGGTGTGAAAATGTGTAGGACCAAAGTCTGTGGTTGCAGCCATTGCCGTGTAGCTCAGTCCTTCCAGTGCTTTCTGTGGTTGGGAATGGAATGTGTTTAAAATAAAACATCACTTTGACATAAATGGATAGCTGCTCTTCAGCTCTGGTTACATACCAAATTTGCATGCAGAGCATTTAAGGAAACACAACTGCCTGGGCTCTGCATGCCAAGAAGTCGACCCAGGAGGTGTGTTGTGACACTGCTGAATGTGAAGCTGGAGACTTGCTGGGGTAGGGGGCCTGGAAGCCTGGGGGAAAGGGGCGTCTCAGAGCAATGGAGCTGAATGTTGTGTGTAGCTTATACCTCAACAAAGGTCTTAAACTGTAAAAGCAGAAACAAAAGGGCCGAAAATGACCAGGATTATCACTGGTAGCCAAGTGCACTGCATAACATAGCTTCCAAGTATGGGCTCCAGGGCCCGAGGGGGACGACAGACACCTCAGCCCAAATCTAGCGCCTTAACCTTAGTCTTCCCAACCCTTTCAGAGCAAAGAAGACTTCATGAACATCTGCGTGGAGCCAGACACCGTCAGCAAAGGAGACTTTATAACTCTCGGGTGAGTGGGCTGGGGTTTGTAGGAAATGACTCTCGCCCTTTCTCTTCTCACACTTGACTTCCGAGCACCCTGTGAGGTCAGTCCCGCCTCCTTTGGCCTTCCTGTTGGTGTCACGGAGACCAGAGTGTGGAGAGCAGGGTCTGCCTTTCCGTGCGATGAAAGCATTCAGCACAGCATGCTGCAAGGATTTTGGCTTCAGGGTCAAAATTCTGGATGCAAATCTTGATCCTGTCACTTACTGACCTCACAACTTGGACAAATTCTTTAACTGTCATTTCTGAAGCCTTTTCGTTGTGTATAGAACGGCATAGTCTGTATCACGATTGCTTTTGAGTTTGAAATGAGGTCGTATGGGGAAAGTCTTTGTATAATGTGAGGCCCTCCACAGTATGTGCTCACGTCAGTCCACCTTGTCCAGTTCCCAAGGCGTCCATTAAAAGCCTGAAACGTTATTGAAAACCTTGGACGTTTTCCAAGCCCCTTTCGATGCGCAAGCATCCTTCCAAGCCCTGATTGGCTAAGCCTTACCTTGCCAGAGTTTGATTGGTTCAGAAGGCTCGCAATCCTCTGCTGGCCTCAAAGCCTGAGCGGCATGTTGCCATGTCAACCGGCAGCCTGGGCACGTGTGCTTTGTCCGCAGCGCCCTCTGGCGCCCAGTGAGAGCTCCGGCCTCTCTGCTGCGGCCCCTGGTCTCCGTGGCAGCTGCAGCGCCTGCACCCGCGCCGCAGCATAATGTCCTTCCTTAGCTTGTGTGATTCTCGCCTTTGGTACAGCCAGATCCTTCAGATGCAGAGTAGGGGACTCTTTGGCCTTTTATATACAGGCTCTATCTGTAGTCGAAGGCAGGAGGGAAAAGCCACGCCCTTCAGCTCGTGTACGCTGGGAAGTACACAGTGTTGTGGGCCCGGGCCAGCTAAATTTGAATCTCATTCATAATGTGGACATCCACAAGAAACTCAGTCATACTGCTGAAGTTGGGGGATCACGGTGTCCTTGCCAGCGGCGGTGCTTCCTCTCCGTCCTGCAGGAAGGAACTCTAGAAAAAGTGGCTCCCTGCGGGTGTCTGTACAGACCCGGTGGAGCTGCCCTAGAAAGGCTGGTGAGCTTCATCTACTAAAGAATTACTGTTGTCAAGTAATGATAAAGGAATTAATTCATTTAGTCCTGCACCAGCCGTGACTCGAGCTATAATGGGTGTCTTTGCATGGGGTGGGGGGTATTGCTAGTTTGTATTTAAAGAATAATCTTTTAAAGAAACTCTAGGTAAGTCTGTCACATTTGCCTATATATTTAGAAAATCCTATAGTTTTCATCCATTTAGTCAAAGCATGTCTCCAAGTAATAGTCACTCCACAGCAACTCCATTACAAAAGTTCACTGTGTCTCCTAGGGAATTTCATTTCATTCTAATGTTTAAATTTGGATATTGAACAACCCAAGGACTAGGTACCTATGGAACTATTTACAGCGAAAAATTCAGAGACAGTCACCCAGTCGTCACTGCCTGTCCACTTCTGCACAGCAAGTAAACCATCTGGGACACACCACAGTGCCTCAGAATCACGGTGGGGAAGTAACTCATAGCACCCCACGGTGCTCGCCTAGTCAGTCTCGTCAAAAATGGGGAACCTGCTGCTGCTCCAGCCTGATGCGGCCATCAGCGCTGGTTTCCAAACCTGCCTTTCCCTTGTGCCCACAGAAGTAAGAAGGTGAGAGACCCGGAGCTGCATGCCGCGGGCACCGAGTGTCTCCACGCCAGCCGGTGCGCCCTGCTAATTCCCGAGGTGAGCCGCGCGGCCCCTTCCCGGCCTTTCCCCCGCCTTGCCCCTCCTCTCGCTAGTGACAGACCCTCGTTCAGGCACTGAGGAGGTGCCAAGCGCTGTGCCAGGTCCTGGCTTAGAGGGAGACATGGAAAGATGACAGGTTCCCTTCTCAGAAGACGGCCGGGGCATCTTCAGGTTTCGTTCGCATTTGAACTTTCATTCCCCCTCGTGCATTTTTGAGATCATGTTGGTTACAGCACTGAGACTTGGGGGTGCAGCATCACGCCTCTGCAGGTGCGTGTCACACCACCAAAGCAGCCGCCGTCCCTCCCCTCTGGGACTCCGTCCTGCAGTCAGATTGCTGTGGCTGGTGTCCTTTTAGTTTTGCTGGTTTTTGGTTTCTTTATATTCCAGTACGAGGGACGCCATCTGGCACTTGCCTCTCCTCCTGACTTAGTTTGCATGGCATAATCCCCTCCACGTTGTAATTGGCACGACTTCATCTACTTTTTAATAGCCGCGTCTTGGCCCGCTGTGTACATAAACCACACCACGCCCTCGTGGGCTCCGTCCCATCCCGGGCACATGCGCTGTGGCTTTGCTCGGCCAGGGAAGCAGTGTTGCTCCGGGCCGGGAGTGCTGGTCCTCCTTCAGACCCCCGGGGTTGCCTCTCGGGCAAGTCCTAAAGAGCGGGGTTGCTGGAGCCTGTGGGAGATCTCTTTGTAATATTTTGAGGAACCGCCACGCTGTTTTCCAAAAGAGCTGGGCTTGCCTACATCCCCCCAACAGTGTAAGAGCACCCCTTTCTCTCACGCTGTGGGGCGGGAGCTCCTTGTGGCTTTGATTTGTGGTTACCTGCTTGATGACGTGCCTGCTGGCCGCCTGCCTCCCGCGGGTGTCTGTTCAGCGCTCCTGGCTCCTGCCGTTTTCGGGCGGGGTGGTTGCTCCCCGGTAGCCGTTGGAGGTGGGAGGTCTCTCGTCGCCGTGCAGGAGCTTCTTAGTTCGAGGAAGTCCCGCTTGTTTACTTCCGTTTCCCTTTGGCAAATGTTCACAGTGAATGCTGCCTTCAGAGTTTTATGAAGGCATTTTCAGGAGGGCGCTAAATTTTTCTGTATTACAAGATGCCAAGCTGAACACAGCAACCCGTCTAAGTGGGGAGGGAGTACCCAGGGCCTCTGAAGCCCGGTGGCTGTTGCACGCCTGTGTCCAGCAGGAACTGCAGGTGTGACAGACGCGGTCCCCACGCAGGCCCGCAGTGTCGTGCTGATGGCCGTGAGGATACGTGCACAAAGCGGCCTGTGTGACCCTTGGCTTTTGTTCACTTGAGCAAGAGTAGGACTGCGAAGGCCATGTGACACTGTGTGTGCCTTCCCGGGCACCGGCAGGACCCATGTCTTTTAACTAGTTGAAAGTGATCACCTTGCTGCTCAAGTGCCAGAAAAACATGAAAACCTGTGCACGGATGGTCGATCCGGGACATCCACACAGCGGCGCGTCCACCCCAGCAGGGACGTGTGTGTTGGGAAGACCATCCGGGCAGGCCGGGAGCGCGGGCAGCGGTTTGAGCCCCTCTCCTCCGCAGGGGACCGAGGGCTCCTTCAGCATCGACAGCGAGGAGTACGAAGCAATGCCGGTGGAGGTGCAGCTGCTCCCCCGGAAGCTGCAGTTCTTCTGTGACCCAAGGAAGAGAGAGCAGATGCTGCAGAGTCCAGCCCAGTGAGCGGGTGCAGTGAGAAGTGGGCGCCCTTTACGCGCCAGTGGGACCACAAGGGGACCAGGCCGCCCCTGCCACTCACGGTGGGTCCATCTGCCCCTCCACTCTCAGCTGTTGCCATGCGCTTCCGTGCTGCGGCAGCTGCTCCCTCCTCCACGCTGACTTCCTCAGGCTGGTTCCAGGAGTTCTCCCTCAGGGGATGGAAAAGGGCCAGGCCTTATTGCCTGGGAGCAGGCCTCACAGCAGCACTTCTCCTGCTTGTTCTGGTCTCTGGCGATCCTAGGGCATGCAGGGAAGGGCTGCCTACCCTCCTATCTGGGTGCTGCTGCCTCCTGAGCTCTGACTCTGTTCCCCTTCTGTCCTCCGTCCAAACCGTAAGTGCGATGTTTTCCCCCTCAGCTGCAGCTGAAACCTGTATGAAAATCCATGCTTCCTAAATGTTGGTTTGCATGAGAACTACTTGGGGTGGGTGCATGTTAAACTGAATCGCTTGGGGCCCAACCCTAACAGCTCAATCCAGGGCTGGAGCCCAGGAAGCTGCATTTTAAAAAACAGAGCAGCCTGCCCTCCCCCCAAGATCCTCCACCTTACCTGGCCACACAGCAAAGCCGCAGTCCACACAGCTCTGCCCAGGGGCTGTCCTGGAAAAATCATGTGCCCCGCCCACTTGTAAGCCGCATCTAAAATTCTCGAAGGGAAGTAAGAGTTGCCAAAGTATGTATTTTCTGGTGTCATGTAAATATTGGTATTTTAAAATAAAACTGTTAACATCACTCCCTTAAACATATTCAGTGTAATTTAAATACATAACAATTTGATGCTCATCATCCATTTACAAAAATAAATTAGCCGTTGAAAAGTTTAAATTGAGTATTTCCAGACCACTTTCAGCAGAGAATGTGGTCCTGCTGTGATCTATTTTTATCACTCAGCCGGTCTTCCAACAAAAAATATAAATGGAAATGTTCTTTATAACACTTTCTGAACTGAGTTAATTATTGAACTATAATTAACACGTCCTTTACAGCTGAGATGGGACAGAAAGAACCGTGGTCACTGTCGCCCGCACCTTGTGGTCCTTCGGCGCGGCCCAGAAACTGGCCTGCAGCTGTCAGCTCGGCTTCACCAGAGCTTCCGCTCCTGGTCGGAAGCAGAGAACTTGAAACTACCTGATGTGTTAGTTTCTGTAGACGTTGTCCTTGTTTGGGGCCCTGTGCGTCTCACCCACTAGCAGGCGGGGCCAGCACAGGCTCACTCAGCAGATGGGGCCCAGGCACCCCCAGGGGCGACAGGACGGGAAGGCAGCGGCACAGGCCAGGCGGGGTCAGCAAGAGCCAGGCTTACCTGTTCAGCGCTGAGTTCGTCCAGCTGTGCTGGGCGCGTCTGGGGCCACCTGTCATTTTTTGGTGACTGTAAGGATCGCCCACGAGAAGAGGCTAAGGTATAAGGAAATGAAGTTTCCACGTGAGCCCAGAGTCCGGTATCTCGGCTCTGTAGTAACACGTCCTGGGCCGGCACAGAATCTGGTTCCTTCCCTGGTAACGCTCCATGCGTGGTGGTTCATTGAGTGATTCTCAGTCACTTTTCAATGTCAGTATGCCCCGGGTCAACTATTTTCCTGCGAGAAAGCGCTTTCATTATTACTTACTCTTTCCGGGGTCCTTCCACAGGATGTCCATAAAAAGGACGTTTCACTGTGCAACATGGACGGCCCGAGTCACCCCCTTCTGTTTAGTATGAACCTTTTGTCAAACTAATTTCACCCAAAAGCCAGGAATATACATAAAGACACACCGTGGCTGTCGGTCCATCGCCCCAAGTCTGACCTGCAGGCCTGGCTGTGAGCCCTGCTCACCGGTGCTCCCCACACGCGGCTGCCCCCGCTCTCATGCCGCCGCGAGCAAGCGGGCTCTGCAACGTGGTCGCGCAGCTTGGAAAGCGGGACCTGGCTTTGGACACAGAGCTACTGATGTACAGCTTTATCCTCAGGGCTGCCTAAAAATAACTCCCCAAGAGGTTAAAAATGAAATGAAATGTAAGCAAGTGTACACACATCTACATACGTCTCGGCTGTACACAGGCCGTTTTCCAGTTACCCTTGACCACAGCAGGCCCCGTGACCCCAGGGCTTCGTTCCCTTGGGCGCCCTCGGCGCTGTCACGGAGCACCGTCCTGCTGTCCGGCAGGCACGCTTGTTCCGACTTTGGTTTCCGTTACCTGGAGAATCCAGATGGGGCCCAGCTCTCCGCGTCCCACTCCACGCGGCAGCCAGGGCAGCCTCGGCCCGCTGCCTTCCGACCGCAGTGCTGAGCCCGGGTGAAGCACCGCAGCACACGCATTCGTGTTAAAATTCCATTTTAATTGTAAAAACCATTTTCTGTAAATATATCAACCTCTGCGCACACCGCTTGGTTCAGATACACAGATACGAAACACAGGTGTCGTCGTGCCACAAAGTCAATTCGAGAAACACTGACTCAGCTTCAGGGCCAGCCACGGATGCCTTTGGCCTCAGAGCACACGGCTACCTCGCAGTAGGATTCGGGGTATGACTTACAAGCTCTCTGCTTCCATATTATGAGGTAAACCCGTGGAGCCAAAATAGATTCCACTTCTTATTGCTATGACCCTTCTGCTGGGGTATGGATCAAAATGGGGGCTTGGCAGTGAAGGCGACAGGGAGGCTCAGCTGATCCTAACCATTCCCCAAGGCTACAACTATTTCTGAACAGATTTCATTGCCCAGACTTACAAAGTTCAGCCAACACACCCAGGGTACGGGAGGTTACTTTTGTGTCTCTCCCCACCCTAAGTCGCCTGCTCTGTGCAGAAACCTGGGATCCGGCCCCTTCAGCATCGTTTGCTCTTCTCTGCCTAATTTGGCTGAAGGACGTTTTCACTTTAAGGTCAATTAAATTTATTAGCAATCCGCTAACTTGGTGACCTGCTGATTGTTCACTTTGCAGCTCATCCTGGCTAACTTACCATGCCCTGCCCCTACCCCCACACCCCTCAACCGTCCTTGGAAAGCAAAGCCAATCTGTTATTCGTCTAAAGAGGCAATCTACAGCAAACAGAAGGAATTCACACCTGTCCTCCGGCTATGGTGATTAAATAAATTTTTCTGATTTAATCCTATTTACCTCTAAAAGCCCATACTAGACTGAGCTGCTAGAGTAAACTAATGAGGCAACAGCAGGGCTTTGTTTCTCCATCATTTCTATACAGCACAAGGAATTGCTCATGGGTTTCAACTGCCCTGTACTCTCGCTCCTAAAAGCATTGAAAGTGCCAGTTAGAAAACCACCTCCCGCTCCCCTCCAGGTAGGAGGCCTCACAGCATTATCGCGTGCACCCCTTATGTACCCGAGTTGCACTCACGGTTGTGAGCACCCGCCATCCTACCTCGGACTGTCCAGCGTATCCCAAAGAGCCCTCAGACCTCACAGCGCAGGCTCCTGTCCACGCGCCATTGAAACACCATCTCTGATGGGGTTTCGGCTGCTTCTAAATGACACGACTGCCCGTTTCTTCTACGGTTATAGTTTTGGAATTTCTTTCCACTTCAGCATCTGCATATTCAATTCACCACATAGAAATAGCGATATAAAAATAAACTTCCATTTCTTGTAAGCAGTAACAAGTCACAGCTAGCTTCTCCCACGGCAGTCGCATTCCAGTGGCTCCTGGGAACAGAGGTATATTAGCAATGAAAGTGGAATCGTCAAACTCCACGCCCTGGGAATAAAAGGACGGCTGAACTCCTTGCCTTCCTGCAACGAGGGGACTGAGTGGGTGTTCAGGACCCTCCCTGCGGGCCCTCAGTTGTAGCCGAGTGTGGGGGACAGACAAGAGGCCTGAGCCCATGAGTGAGGAATGAACCCAGAAGGACCTAAAAGCTCCCACGTGACACGCTGGTCCCCAGATTCACCTGCCTGTGTTAGAACCATCGTCACAATAAGGCAATTCATTGTCAAGCTGAACGTGGCCTTTTCATTTTGTTCGCAGGCCCCTCCCCACCTCACCTCTGCCAGGGGGATCTGTTCTGGGAGGTCGAAAGCATCTCAGTCCTTCCCCTGGGCCAAGTAGCTGCGCTAAGTAAAACAATAACAACAAAAACTGGTCCCTGAGGTCGCAGCCTCTTCCTGGAGTTGATGTAGGACCATTGAAAGGTTAATTCATCACTGTCCTTTACAAAAGGCTCCCCAAAGGCCTCTGTTTCAAGGTGAATAATCTCATCTTTTTATTGTGTTGGAAGGGGGCTGGCTCAGGGTGTAGAGAAAACAGCAGGTTCATCCTCACAGCTACCAGGATGAAAAGCAGGACCTCAGCTGTGATTTCCCTTTCCCTTCGCCTTCTAACCACAGTGCCATCCGTGGCTACACGGGGACACGGAGTCTCCATGTGTGGTGGTTAGTCATCTGCACCTTGGGCTACGCTTAATTTCCTTCTGGAATTGCACGTGGAACAAAACCAGGTGAATCACAGCTGCAAGTGCCTGTGCGGAATGATTTCTATCTCGGGGCCCAGGACTTCAGCCTCCTGTCCCAAGCCGAGCGACGACGTGCCTTCTCGCTCGCTGCGATCCGAATGTCCCGAGGGCCCTAAGGCCCAGGCGGACTCTCGTCGGGTGGATCTGCACCAGCCCAGCGAGTGTTTCGTGCTGCACAAAGGCCCACGCTACTTCTGAACAAACCACTTGGCCTGGACTTCTTCTCGTGGGAGAGGAGCCCTCCGGGTTCCGATTCCTTGCGGAGAAAGCACGCTGAGACACAGCCCGAGGCTCAGCACACCACCTGCCCAGCCTGCAGAACTGCAAACCATCTACCCTCACAGCCCTTGTCCTTTTACTCGACATCAGCAACCCCTGAGTCTCAACTCCAAGCCCCAAGAGGAACCTGGCGTTCCTCCCTAGTGGATGCGGGTGGCGGAGCAGCCCCGGGCTCTCGGGTCGGCAGTAGTGCCGGGTTTGCACGGGGCTCACAGCAGGGCATTAGCTCAGGCTCAGAATGCTCCAGGGGGATCTTGGTGGCTGAGGTTTAACAGTGAGGCCTCGTCTGCAAGTCAATTCCAGCCCTACTCTGAAGTCGGAGGCGGCAGCCACCCGGCCCTACAGGGCTTATGGGCCTCGGAGGCAGGAGGGGCCATCGCCAAACACATTTCAACAGCAACAGCGAAACAAGTGTTCTGGCTTCTAGCTTCTGCTGTCCCCGGGGGAGCCCTGCCTGGACTTCACAAGCGAATCCTCTTTTACAGAACTGGCAGCACGTGATGCTGGGTCGTGCCTGCTCGCTTGAGATGGGGGGCGCGGCTCAGAGTCAGGTACAAACAAGCCTTCAAAAGAGACCTTGGAAGCAAAAGGTGTCATATCAGCATCCAGGCAGGACCCCTTGGGGAAGATCACCAGGGAAGGCAGCTGCAGAGCTGAGGGGTACCCCGTTCAGCCAAGCAAACCGGCTCCAAGAAAGCTAGTGATGTAGCGAAAGGAGGATTCTTGGGGTTCCCTCTTGACAGGAACACAGAAAGGAAAGAAGTTGCGCTTCAGGCTCAGCTGAGCCCAGGCTCCTCCAGGCAGTGCCTCGAGGGGTTCCCTCAGAGCTCCCAGGCCCCAGCCTCTGTGTTGGGGGTGGGCACGGAGGTGGCAGACAGAACAATGCCAAGGGGCCAAGAGGAGCCCAGAGCCCTGATCGCCATCACAGGGCAATACAGGAGCCTCATTCTCACCCCGCTGCCTTCAGAGCAGCACTTCTGAGCCCACAAACAGCGTTCCAGCATCCCCACGCAGAAAGCCACGGCGGAAGTGCAGAGAGTCTCCTTCCGCCAGACGCCCCCTTCTGCACACGGGGTCCGCCTATGTCCCCCCAGAAAACCTGGCTTTCCTTTACCCCTGCCATGTGTCTGACCCTGAGCCCCCCGGCTCAGAAGACCTTGACCCTTCGGAAACCACTAAAGTGACCCCTCCTCGACCCAGGTGGAAAAGGCCCCTCCTCCTTGACAGGCAAGAAGGTTGGCTGCTTTTCAAGGAAAAAAGGCGGCAAAACTTCATTTTCTAAACAGATTTTTTTTCTTTCGTGAACATACACAGCACTGAAATGGGGGCTGACCCCACCCCGCAGAGGAGCGACACGGAGGCGTTGGACAGTATACATTTCAATGCCCAAACTTATTTATATATTTACATAAAAGATGCTGCTTTGATTACTCAAGGCCTGTCTGCATTTCCACCCATGAATCTTCTTGTGTCTTGGATTTTGAAAATACTTTCGAAAAAATCAGCGAGCCCTGAGAGGCCTGTCTCGAGAGAAGACATGTGTCGCATTCGCTTCTCTGCGGTGCACGCGATGAGCCTGGCCGGCGCTCTGAGGGCTACTGTCACTCCAGAGCCCCGCAGCGCGAGTGGAGCGGAAGACACTTGTCACCAACCACCCAGTAGCCCACGTCAAAACCCTAACCGATGGCCAGAAAGCCCTAAACCCTGCTCACGGCGCTGGCCTCCTGGGGTTGGCCAACAACAGCTGTCGCACCTGACCTGCATCCGGCCCTCCGGCCAGCACACGCCCCGGCCCAAGAGAACCGAGGGGCCCGCGGGCGCCGTCCCAGACAGGCCGTTTCAGAGGAAAGCGGACTCGGCGCGGACACTGTCCTGGGGGAAGGCACTGTCAAACTCGCTCTCAGAATCCACTCCACCCGCGGCCCCAGCCCACCCGAGGAATGTGGTCTCTGCTACGGAGAAGTCTGTGACGGATCCAAACTGGCCACCCGCCTTCTCAACAGGCTCCGGCCTCTGAGGTAACCAGCTGGGGTCCGTGCGCGATGAGGAAATCCCGTGAACCTGTTTCTGTTATAGAGCAGCCCCGATATTGAACGGGTTCCCCTAACATTTCCATCTAGAGACTCTGCGAGCACCACCCTCAGCGCTCACCCAGGTGAAGCCGCTCAGCCTCCCGCCCCCTGCCCTGCCGGCCCTCCCCTGCTCCACGGTGGCGAGCCACCCTTCGGCAACACCCACACACCTCCGGCATGGTGAGCCCTTACAGGAGACCCAGCGAGACAATGGATTTGCTTGCAAGTCCCGGGGCCGCCGCCGGCCCTCAGGCGTCCATCCGCCCATTCCACAAGAAGGGGGTTCAGAGAAAGGGGAGTATTACATCGGGGCCACATTGCCTGACTTGGAGGAAAGTTCCCAGAATTCACTCTACGATTTTAATCTTCAGTTCACTGGGTAGCAGCTTCCCCTACCCTCAGAGAAGCTAGTACTGAGCGCCAGCGACATCTGGTCCCCCTTTGAGGCCGACTCCAGTGACGAGAGAAGACATAGATTCGCCCCGATAAACAAGAAAAGGAATCTGATCCCCAAACTAGACTTCCGGGATAAAAGCCCTGAAGGGCATCGCTAGCGTCCGCCTTTGGGCCGAGGCACACCCGAGGCCAAACAGGAGAGCCTCGCTCTTGAACACGGCCAGACTCCCTGCGGAGGCTGCCCGGCGGCTCCGGCGCTCGGCTGCGCCTGGCGATGTCTGGCCTTGGGGGTGAGAGGACCCCCTTTCAGAAACCCAAGACCAGCCACGCAGTAGCTGTGGGAAGGAGCAGGTCCCAGCGTCCTGCCGCAGCAGGGCCCGGATCCAAGGCGACCCCCCCACCGCCAGGAAGGGAAGAAAGGAGATCGCGAAAGTGACATTTGTTGGGACGTGGAAACCATTATCCCTTCGTGTGGCCTTGGTAAGCACGAGGCCCTCCGGCCCGGGGAACGCGCGGGCGCCGGCGCCGGCCCTACGTGCAGCAGGGGTTGTCGATGACCAGCATGACGTCGATGCCGTAGGCCTCCAGCAAGTCCAGGAGGAAGCCGCGGTCCCCCTGGGGGTCGAGCCCCATGCCGCGCGCGTGCTCCGCCGTCAGGGTCTTGTCCTGGCTGGCCGACACCTCCAGCAGAGTCTGAAATATCCGGTTGTTTTGCTCCAGGAAGAACCTGCATTCGCAGGCCGGGACACAGGAAAGGAAGGGGCAGAGAAGACAGAACAGTGCTCAGCACCGTCCCCGCGTGGCCCCGAACCACGCTGTTCCCTCCACGGGCTCCCAAGGGGGCCAAAGCTCAGAGACTCTCTTTTTAAAAATAAAGAAAACGATACGAATTAAAGGGTGGTTCGCAGCTCCGCTCCGCAGGTTAGTGAGGACAGCAGGAGGCTCGGTCCCGTGAGCAAAACGGGGAGCAAAGGGAGGTCTGACTAGACAGGGGGGCGGGGGTTTGAACAGCCTCAGGGAGAGGCCGCCAGAGCCCGAGCCGCTCGCTGCGTAGTCAGTCAGCGGGAAAGAGACTGTTCAAGCCAAACACCACACTTCCCAGGTCAGCACTGACACGCGGAGCTGAAATTCACCCCCCAGGCCCTGGAAGGTGAGGAGGCCGGGAAGGAGGGGCTGGAAGGCGCCAGGCCCTGGGCCCCACGGGGGGGGGGGGGTGCGGGGGGGGGGGGTGCGGGGGAGGAGGCTGCAGAGCTCGCCACCATCCTCGGCCTTCGCTTCTGTCACGTTTTATCATCCATGATGCACAAAGTAGGGCTTCAATGTCACTGATTTACAGATGGGTCCTGCTGAGGCCCGGCCCGTCCACAGACAGACAGCAAGTCCAGGCCTCCGCCAGGCACCTCCTCAGGGTCCAGTGCTGCTCCTTGGCTCAAATTTTGGTGCCAAGCGCCAGCATCGCCTCCAAGACCAGCTCTCATGGCAGCTCTGCACCCCCCACCCCTACCCCCCAATCTGTTCCCATCACACTCGTGCCCAGTCACTCCGGCCCAGCCTGCTGCTGTGGGTGACATCGGGGCTGAGGTGCCGGCGAGGCTGGAGGAAGCGCTTATGGCAGGACCTGCCGCCCCTGAATCCTGAGGCCCGGCAGAGCTCGGGCGGGTCACACCTGACAGAAAGACACTCTGGTTTAAAAACCTCCCCCTGCTTCTTTCCAGCTCCTCCGGGACCCCGTGCACACCCCATGCGGCTCTGGCCGGCTGGCTAGAGCCCGCGCCGGGCCTGGCAGCGCCTGGGTGACCCGGGGGCCCCTGGGCGAGGCTCTGGCCCCTGCCCTGGGCAGACTCACAGCACGAACAGGTCCTCCTCGCACGGGTTGTAGTCCCCCTCCACCTCCTGGGAGTACAGCAGCATCTGCCTGCGGGGAGGAGAGCACAGGCCCGGCTAGGCCCTCGGGCCGCGCACGGCCACCACCGCCGAAGGGTGACCCAGAGCAGACGCCCCGGTCCGAAGGCGGAAGAGCCAGGAAAGGAACACACAGTCGAGTCAACACCCCCAGGCCATTTCCACCCCGAGTACCCGAAGGCAAGTGACACCCCTTCCTGACTGTCCACTAACAGGGACGGCAGGGACCCCGTGGTCTCGGCGCTGTCGCCAAGTGACCCCCTGATCTCAGGACAGCCAAGGAGAGAGTTAACGGAGATGGTGCTTCCGAAGCCAGCACCCACCGCGGGTGCTTAATTAATGCTCGTTCTCTCCTTGGGCCTCAGATGCCAAAGGCCACGACTGAGAGGCACCCCTCAGACACCCACCGCCTCCTGGCAGGGCAGCGAGCTGGGGGCTCGGCTTCCACGCGGGGTTTCCTTCATTTCTGCTCCAGGCAGCGTGATGCCACTGGGGAGACCCCGCCACTCCACCCCAGCCTGCCCCATTATGGGCAGTAGCCCAGGGGCGCCCCACATCTGAGTGTGTGCTGGCCTCGGGCGCCCACACGCAGGCCCGCCCCCCACCTCTGCTCGTTGAGCCGCCGGTACTTCTCCCTGTCGGCGCTGTTGAGCTTCAGCAGGGGCTGCAGGTGGTCGTGGTGCGTCTTCACGTTCTGGTTGTCCACGTAGACGTCGTACAGTTCCCGCTTCTCCTCGAAGATCTTCTCTGTGGTGCCTGTGAGGCCCAAGGTCCAGGGAAGACCCTAAAGGCACGAACCTGACCCTCCTCACCTGGCCCCCCAGTACCGGGGACCTGAGATCCCAAGTGGGACGGGGAGCAGCCGGGAGCTGTCCGCGGTGCTGGGCAGGACAGGGCAGCGCGGGGAGGCCCGTACTCACAGGCCACGTAGGACACCTCTACCTCCAGGCTCTCGATGTCAGCCACGTTCACGTAGAAGAACGGCTTGGACTCGGGGATGGTGCCCCCGATGCCGGGCAGGGACACGTTGGCCAGGCAGCAGCAGCAGTACACTGCGGCAGAAGGGCGAGTGGGGAACGGTGCGCCCCTCCCGGGCCTGCCTCCCCGAGCCCGCCGGCCGCCTCTGCAGAACAGCAGCCCCCAAGGATGCTGCGGGGGCCCTGCCTTGCGCTGTCCTGGAGCTGAGGGCCAGGAGCTCCTGGGGCCCTGAGACGCTGGGGTAGGAGGTGGAGGCGATACGGCCGGGCCACTCGGGTTAGAGCTCGGTGCTGACAACACATCCTGTTCTCTCCCTTGGGCCTCACGGACTCCAAAGGCCATGAGAAAAACCCACCCTCAGGCACCCCCGCCAGGGCTGCAACAGGGAGAACCTCATCTCCTCAAGGTCATACCAATGACATCTTACCAAATGCAAGAGACACGTTTGGTCTTGTTCACAGAACCGGCGCTGGTGATCTCCCCACTTCTCAAAGCCCCGGCTCCCCCGGTGCCTGCTCCTCCCTCTGCTCCACCTCCCTGTCAACGCCGCCGCCTGGGGCCCGTCCCCACACGCCCCTCCCCAGGGAGGCCATGGGCAGGAGAGCAGCACGGCCCTTCTCAGTCTCCAGCCTCTACCCCAGGCCTGCCCGGCGTCATGATGGCCTCACAGGCTGTGTGCCCCCGCCCCGTCCCCTGTCTGCTGGGGCCACCATCTCCTCCTCCGCGCCTCTTCCTCTGGGACGGCCTCACACGTGACAGACGCTTCCACGCGGCAGGCACCCGCCTCCTCCTGCTTCTCTCTCAGCTGTATCGCGCACCCACCGTCTGGCACCCACCATCCAGATGCTTCTCTCAGATTACCGACACGTCAGCCCACTCAGCTGCGTGGCCCCCAGGGTCCATGGTCTAAAACACGGACCCACCATGTCTGGGGGGGTCCGCGGGGGGCCAGGCTGAATCCCCCAGACCCTCTTGAGGGCCCAACGCCTCTCAGCTTACTCCGCGGTGGAAAGGCCCGAGCAGCCTCTGCTCTGGGAATCTAGCGAGAGCCCCACGTTCGGCTTCTAGTTACCTCGATAGCACACGACGCCCACGGGAGGGGGAGAAAATATCAAAATGCGCTTTCGAAGTAAGGCGAATTTCCAGAGGATGAGGATCTGTTCTCCGAAGAACTTGATAAACTGCGACATGCAGCCCGCTGGGTGTGTGATCTGGAAGGGAGGGGTAGGGAGGGCTGGTTAGGGGCCTTTGCTAGAAGATTCAATACCCCTGTGTCCTGGCCCGCCCCCTCCTTCCTGCCCTGCTGCCCCCAGGCATGGAGCCCTGGAGCCTCCGGGCTGCAGAGCCCTGGGTGTCCCAGCCGACCAGCAGGAGCACAGAACCAGGAAAATCCAGGCCCGGCTCTGCCATTTGCCAGCCTGACGGCACCAGCCAGGGGCCCCGCCAGCACTTCAGAGCCACCCCCGGTTGAATGTCAGAAGCCACAGAGCTCGTCACCCCTGGGAGGGCCGAGGGCACGTCTGCAGACAGGCGTGACGCCCAGGCCGTGAGCGCTCCAGGTGGACCACGGCACTGAGGCCACTGCACAGTGCGCAGGGCCAGCGCCAGGGCACCCCCCCGACCCAGCCCCCAGCCTTCAAGGACCTCAACCCTCCCGACAGCTGGGGAGCTCAGAGGCGGGCGCTTCCCCACCTGAGACTTTACATGAGACCCCGACCTGGCTGACCCCCAGCAGGGTCACAAGAGACCGTGAAGCAGAGACCCACTTAAGGCCAGCCTGGGTTCCTGACCCCCAGAAACGGCAAGAGAATAATATCGGGGGTGATTTGTGATGCAGCAGCAGGTAACGAAATCGCTGCCCGCACTGCTGGTCTTTAAGCTCCCTTGCTCCCTTCTGCACTTCAGCCTTCCACGTCCCACTCCAGCTTCCTGTCGTGAGTTGGGTTTTCCTGACAACAAATTCCACGGTCTCCACAATTTGATTCTCACCTATTTTTCTAAACTTTCCCCTCCGGACAGCTGACGGAAACGTTCAGTCCCCGCAAGTGTGTGTGCTCAGGTCGTGAACTCGCCTGCTGCTCTCCCCAGGCCACATCCCGGCAAGGGTGGCAGAGGGGCGGGAGCGAGCCCTGGCTGTGCACCAGGCCCTCATTAGGCCCAGGCTCCCTCCCCCTCCAGCCGGCTCTCAGGACTTAAGCAAGTCCCTGAGCCTTTACAAACCCAGTTGCCTTTATCTGTAAAATAGGCATGAAAAAAGGCATTCGAAGGGTGCTGTGGCTGCTGGAGAATGTCTAATCACAGGAGGAGCTGACGGGGTGATGGGCTGTGGCACCACTGCCACTCAAGCCCCCTGCACCTGAGTGCACAGCCCCCCTTCAACGGGCCGGATGCTCCGGGGACCACTCCTCTTCCAGGAAGCCTTCCTAGAGTCCTCCCTTCACTCCTGGCCCCACTGGGGCTCAGCTTTCTGCTCACAGTCATCTCTGTTCCCTCCTCACACTCTGCCTGGGTGTCTCGTTAACTGTACACAAGCATATTCTAGCACAGAGCAAAGTTCATCAGGAAAAAATACACAATAAGATAATCAGGAGGGAGTGAGACGCTCCAAGGTGAACAGGATGTAGCGTAAACAGATGCTGATGTAGAACCACGTGCTGCAGAGACTAATGTCCCCGCTTCAATAAAACGCGTAAAAATATTTATCAAGGTTATCGCGGGACAGGAATTTCACACCTGTCCATCAACTCGCCCTCTCTGTTTCGAGTGGCTGGCTTGAAACTATCTGAAGCAGTAACACAACCAAATCCATCCGTGCGCATGAACTGGCCGGCCTAGCAAGAATGACTGCACTGGGATTACAGAATTTTCTAGAAAGCATACTGCTGCCTTCTGTTTTAAGAAAACCCAAACGCCGAGACCACATCCCAAAGCAGCCTGGGGCATGAGTCCAAAACGTGCATTCTTTATTCCATTAAAAAACAGTCATCCGAGAACAGCACCCAGGACAGAGAAAGAGCAGGCGACCCACCTTCATCTCGGGGTACATGTAACGGTGGATGGAGGGCAGCCAGTAGACGGGGGGCAGGCTGCCGCCTCTCCCCGGCCCCGGGTGGAGCACCCCTTTCTTGTCCTCGTAGAAGGCAGCCAGATGAGAGTAATGTCCCGGAGTCTCCAGCTGGTGTCTGCACGGCACACAACACACAGCACAGTGGGCAGGGCTGCCTGCCCGCGGGGCTGACGCCAAGGGTCAGGGCCCATGCGCCCTAAAGATCTCTAGGGTCCTGTTGAGCTCGCCCTGGGTGGACGGGGGCTGAAAGCAGGCCATCTCCCAGCTGGCGCCGTTGGCCTGCCCAAACTCTCTCACAAACTGCTCAGAGTCCACCCTGCCGCTGGCCGCTGGCCCGCCAACCCCTCTCCAGAGGGACTCCAGCTCCCGGCGTCAGCGCCACGCTGGCCGCCTCTTCCCCGTGAGCTCTCGGGCAGGTCGCTCTACTTTCCTCCACCTGCCTTCCTTGTCCTTCTCCTTCTCCTTCGTGCAGACACCCGCACCTCCTCAGTCTTACTGTGAGGAGTCAGTGGATGAAGCAGAACAAGTGTCTGGCACAGGCTGGGGCACCTTTCAGTCCCCCCCAGAAGATGAGGGGCCTCCCTCCCCGGCTCTCCTGCAGCACCCAGCAGGCTGGGGGACAGCCGGCAAGTCGGGGGACTCGGGGCAGGTGAGACCTCGGGACACGTTACACTTTAGAGGAAAAAACCAGCTTTATACCAGCAGAAGACGACTGGGAACGGCTCCCCCCAAGAGGCAGCGCTCTCACGTCACAGTTCTGCACATTCCCTTTTACGCTTTGCCCAAGGAGGCAGTTTCGGGATAGCGCTGGGCGTGTGTGCGTGTGTGATCACGATCCTGTCTCTCCTTCTGACAGGTGTCAGGTGGTGGGCGGAAAAGCCACGTGACCATGGGGTGTGAGACGATTCTGAGAAGGGAGATTTCAGACACTCGTCGGGGATACGTGGTGAAAGTTTGATTATCACTAAGTGACAAAGATGATTGAGTTCAGAGGTGCTTCAGTGAGGACCTAATTTCCCTAAAAAAACCCCCAACAACAACAATAAGAATCGTTGAATAGTATTTTAATACCATATGTCCGACATGAATGGGGCGTTATCCAGGGCACTGTATGAAATGGAATGATTTTTCATTTGATTCGCCTGTTGATTTGCTACTCAGCTGTCTTTTCCATTTGATGATATTAAAAATGCTGCACATGGGGCAAGATTCTAGAGCAAAGCTCCCTGGAAGAGCAGTATCTTAGGCGAAAAGCTAGCTTCTCTGAAAGCCTAAGATCTCACCGCCATGGAGCAGAAGAAGGCAATAACAAAGAATATAGGCTATGAACAGAACAGCAGCTCCCGGATAAATGTCAAACAACAGTCGGGGGGAACCCTCAATATTTAAACAGACTGTTGACTTTGCAATAAACAAGACTGCAATAAACCACAAACATAAATTAAAACAAAGCTGACGTTGTTGGAAGACCTTTAGACATGATGCAGAGGTTGGTTGGTCTTCAAAAGGAGATGCAGAAAGAGGCCTTCCTGGAGATCTATTTAGAAGGACGTAGCCGTTAAGAAACCACCAGGTCATCTACGGACACTGACCAAGACACATGACATGGGAAGGCCTGCAGTGGCTGAGCTCACCGCACTGTCTCTTTCTTTCCCTCTGCTCTTTCCTATGAGTCCCTTCAGCCCTCTTCAGTCACCACGCTGGAAAACCCTTCTTCAAGGGCTCGAAATCTAGGAGCCATAAAAAGATCAGCGCATTCAAGGAAGAAAATCATCTGCATGACAAATAAGCTGTGTCAAAAGATGACCAAGTGGAGACATTTTCAGTCTGTGTCACAAAGGACAAATCTCCCCATTATACAAAGAACTAGAAATCAGGAAAAGGCCAGCAACCAATCAACATTTCTCAGAAAAGGAACTGCAAATGATTCAAATCTTATTTATTTTACCCATTTGAGTGCCAAGAATCTTATTGTTGAGTTGGAGGGAACAGGCCTGCCTGCCTCACCACTGGGTGTGAAAAATGGTGCAATCCCCATGGAAAGCAATTTGACCGTATCTGTTATAACGACAAATCCATCACCCTTTGAGTTACCGGTTCCATCCCTGGAAATTCAATGTGCGTATGTCCTGCTCATGTGTGAAATGATATTGTTCATGGATTTTCAGAGCAGCAAGAGACTGGAAGCCACCGAATGTCTATCAATAAGACACTTGATAAAGAAGGTCTAGTTCTTCTACGCGGGACATGCAAAACAACCAGAAGCGCTAATGGAGAAACTCTGTGTACTGATCTGAGCATATTTTCTCTCATATGTATTGAATGAAAAAGGCAAGATGCAAGACAACATGTATACATGTTGCTGCTTTTTGTCTGCAAAGGGAGGAAATAAAAACATTTATTTGTATTTGTATACACACACATACACTGACTGTGGAAAGACACCTGAGGAATTAACAGTGACTACTGGGATTACTGAATGGATGTGGGAACTGGATGAAGCGTTTTTCATTTTATGCCAAGGGTGAAAACTGTTTTCTTCCTTTAGTTAAGGGCTGACCACATGGCCATCCAGTTAAAGACATTTCCCAAACTTCCTGGCTGCCAGTTGTGGCTGGTAAGTCAACCAGCCAAAGGAATGGGAGCAGAAGCACCCATTCGATTTGTGGGAATTCTGTGTCCTTCCCTGTGACAGTGACCTGGTGATGGCGAGTCCATTTCTACCATGGGGATGAGGGCGATCAGGATATAAGACAGAGAGACTTGGGTCCAAGGATTCTCCAGTGGGACAGAACCACCACCCATTCCAGACTGCTTCCTCCCGGCTGTGCTTCTGTCTTGTTTGAGTCACTGTGGTTTGGGTCTCTTTGTTACAGCTACTGGACTTGCACTCAAAAAATGATACCTTGAAGTGATACAGTATGAACGCCACACTGTAGCACTGGCTTAGCAGCTGGCAAGGGAAGGCATAAGGAAACAGATCTTGAAGTCTGGACAGCAAGGAAACACTTGTTATACTGTAGCCAAAAAGAAAAATAACTGGGAGGGTAGGGCTTGTGTCATCTGAACTAGCAACTTTAGGGGAGGCAGTTGGAAGTAAAACATTGATTGCTCCTTACTGTTTTTAGTGGGCTCCTCTAATAGTAAGGTGAAAATAGGCAAGAATTGGCCAGTTTGCACGCAAAACTGGAAGGAACTGCAGCCTAAGGGCGGTGTGTTCTGAGTTCTGCAATAGAAATTGAGTCTCCAATCATTTGGGACCTTGCAGGACTGGACAAATAATTGCCCCTCTACTCCAGAAGCAGGACAAAAGAGTTTCTCTCAAATCCTCTATGAAGCTCTCTTGGCCAGACATGATAAGCTTTGGAGTAGACCTCAAGATAGTCGTCATTAAAATGAGGGAAAGATGGACAGGCCAGGAACACAGACCAGCAACTAATCTACAATATACGGACTTTAAAATTAAGACCCAGATGAGATCTTTGTGAGTGGATACTTTTACTGGAAACCACAGACAAGAAACCTGTTCAGCTTTGGAAGGATCTGGTATTGTCATCTGCCTGGCCCATGAAAGAGTGGGGCTTCTCAACCTTCAAAGAAACCACTAGATCCTCAAACCTACGCCAGCAGAAAACATGCTGGAAAGCCATACAGCCTCAACGGAGAAGCACAAAGTCCTTAATGCCCACTTCAGAAGTGCTTTATGGGAGAAAACGCATAAAGAAGCTGGACAAGGGGATTCTAGAGAGCAGAAAGGTTTAGACAAGGTGTACACGGCCCTCCAGGACAAGCAGTCTGCATCCCCTCTCAGCAGAATTCCATCACTATGGGGGACTAGTGACTCTTACATGACAGAGAATCTTCTATCATCGTATCTTGGGTCCTCTGTTCTTGCCTTTTACCCAGTAACCTAACTTACAGCATCCAACCTTATAAGTTTGGGCTTCTGAACCATGAGAATGTACTGCTTATTCAGGGAATTTTCTCAATAGGAATAATTGTTTTCAAGAGTCAGAATCCCAATGTACAGTTTTTTTTACTCCATAATGCTTCTGAGATGCAAAACTGAGGAAACATTTCAAATACAGAAAATGACATGCATACTGGTGTTCACCACAGTCCCAACATGTAGGGAAGCCATTAAAAAAATCACACTAAATGCTCAACCACAGGGAATAATCAGGTCAATTTATGGGACAGCTCCAGCATTACAGAGCCATTAAAATCACCATCAAAATGACAAATATGGAGGACAATGGAGAGAAACTGTGTATGCATACTGGTGCTCCTGGGGAAAAATAAATGGAATGAGAAAGCTGAATGTTTTATCATAAAAGGAAAGGTTCCTGAAATAAAAAACAAGACTTATCTGAAGATTAAAAAGGACAAACTACCCCTCCCCATCTCTCCCCCCCAAAAAAAGTTCAGCCACACCACAGAGGAAGGCTCTACAGGTATCGAAACTGAAGAGACTTCTCTGAAACAACCAGTATCAGAACACCCAGAGCAGCATTTATAGCATCCTTAAAGGAAGGAAGATTCTAGAATCTGAAGTAAAGAGAGTAAAGTAAGTTAAGCACACACGATCTCAGAGAAGACGGGACCAGTGATACTTCCATGGAGAAAGAAAAGTGCTTGATGGCAAAATCCAACCAACCTGGTAATAATTCAAATCAAGAACTCGGGGAAGGAGGCCTCCCTGGTGGCGCAAGGGGTTAAAACGCAACCTATGAAGCTGTCTGCAGCCACTGCAGTGTGAGTTTGATCCCCAGCCAGGGAGCTACCCACATGGTGCAGCAGACCTCTCCTGACTCTCCTGCTGCTCCCCTCAGCAGCGTATTTCGGCCATCCGCCTGTTCTGCTCCCCACTCTGTCTCTGGTGAATCCTTTCACCCCCACACCTCTGGCCAGTACCCCAGTTCTTGTATGTATAAATAAATCTTTAAAAAATAAAGAACTTGGGAAGGCAGCCCGCCAGTCAAGCCCTACGTGTGACTGTCAATCTGTAATCGTAGACTCTAGAGCTGTGGGGCTGATGATTACAGAACTAAGCGCAGTAAGTCTCACAATCTATAAAAACTGGTTTGTGCAATGGGAAGAAGAGCTGGGAAGACATGTCTTCAAGGTAATACTAGACTCCGTCTGTCATTGAAACACAATCTAGAACACCAACCACTAAGACTCATGTGCCTCAGTGAATATGTCCTGAAAAAAAGAAGAAAACCCTTTTCAAACCCCTTTTCCTTAACGCTGGAGGAACAGTTCACAAAATGATTATCTTATTGTGAAAAAAAAAAAGTCATGTATAGTTTGACAACTCCTTCAGCGTCACTTACCCTTCTCCTCTGTCATAGGCAAGTAAAATTAAATTTGTTATATTTCATTATGGTAGTCTAGTGCTTGATTAAATTAAATCTTCAAAAATTTCAATCCTACTTTTATAAAATTATGTCTATTTTAGAGTGACAGCTGCTAAATATTAACAATGGAGATTTTTGTTAGGATTTGGGAGATTTTTAAAATTCATTTATACTTTTATATACATTTTTAAATGATAAGCATATTCTTCCCCAAACAATGAAGCTCATGTTCTTTCAAAGACGATAATCAAGAAAAATTATGTTACATAAGAATTAAAATAATGATACATTTTTAACACACACACCAAAAAAGAGACAATTTCCTAAAACAATGCTTCAGGGATTAAGGATAGATATTTCCCCTCTCAGAATCGGAAATGAAATTAGATTCCTTGCATAATGAAGAATAAAAGAAATATCTAATAGTGTGGCTTCTGGTAAAAATTCCCTCCCGATTACCCCAAATAGCAGGTGCTTGTTTAAAAGAAGTTTAGAAGCGCCTACCTGGGCTAGGATGGAGCTGCTGCTTATTTTATTATGAATTACTGATGCGTGTCAGCCATTATTTAATGAAACAATATTAAAGACAAATGACTTAATGAAACGAAATGAAAATGCTAACAGAAACCGAAAGCGACAGCGCCCCCCGCCCTGTGAGATCATGTAGAATGACTATGTGGGGGGCTCGGAGAGTCCAGCAGCCGAGTCCTGCACCGTGGCCATGGACCATCTTGGGAAGGCACCGTCTGGGCTCCCCACCACCCCCAGAGGACTGGCCCCCGACCCGCTGGGCCGCGATCACGTACCGAACCTGGTTCTCCAGGAAGTGCATGTAGCGGTAGAGCAGGGTGTAGGATGGGGACAGGATGCCCACGGACTTCATGCGCGCGCCGCGCTCCAGCTCGCTCTCCACCGGCATGTTGGCGAAGCAGGCCAGGCCGAAGAAGGGCCCCTTCCGGAAATAGCTGCAGCAGACCACAGCAGGCTCGACGTCGGCAGTGGGGGACACGTTTTGAAATGGGGGGCAGGCAGTTTTGTGGTGCTTTGTCTTTGCCTATGAGAAGATGCAGCCCCAACCCAAAAAAGCAGCCATGCCCGAGGCTCTGCAGGGGAAATAGCTGCCTGCAAGCAAATTTTTGGACCCTCAGGGACAATTGGTCCAGGCCACTGCGCCTCACAGAGGTGACAGCAGAGGCTCTAGGACAGTGTGGACTCGCCAAGGGCGTCCAGCTGGGGCCGGGGCTTGGTCTCTGGCAAGCTGGCCACACTGCCGGGCCCACCTCGGTGTCTGTCTCCTGCATAACAGCCCATGACTTGATGGGAGAACCAAAACTGAGCTCGTGTCAGGCCCAACTAGGACCAGCTCTGGTTGAGGCGTGTAGACAGTGTCCGCCCTTCCTGAGTCTCTCATGTTGAACAGAGGACATGACCAGGCGGCCCCCTGGTTTCCTTCCCCTTTCTCACTCCTCTATCAGTCTCGTTCCAGGCCAATGAGGAGAATGCAGCCACGCCTGCACCCTGAGCTGCTCTCTGCTAGCGCCTCCTTGCAAGCCTTGGTTACACAGGACTATAAATGAGCCTCCCTTAAAACTGGAACTTCCAGCTAAACTGGAAGTTTTAGCTCATAAATATCTAAATTAGCCCAAACTGAAAACCCAGTCATTCCTGGAGTGAGGTCCGATCACTTCTTGGAGAGAGACCCTCTGCCATCATAGCAGCTCTTCCCTTTTTTGGATCATGAAACTCACTGAAAACCTAATGGAAGCGAAGAACCCTATTGCGAGAAACTTAATAGAAGCCCCAAACTATATATATTATATTATTATTTTTTTTAATTTTATATATTTCTCACATCATTTTTCATTTTTGCACAATGTATGCATTTTCATCCTGGTTATAGTCCCCATATAATTCCCACCCCCCTTGTTTTGCTCCTACTCCCTCCCTATACATTGTCAGGGCGTTGACACACACCTCTTGCAGATCTGCGGGGAAGGCACTGGGAAAGTGTGTGGGGAGAGGAGGTGTGCAGAGAAGACCTGCATCTGGGGGTACTTACATGAAATCAGACTGAACTTTATGGGACCCACTGGCCATAGACTTGAACTCAACCCCTTCAAGGTCGACATCCTGAGGCAGGCACCACTCCACCACGTTTCCTGCGGGAAAGCAAGGACACGCGTTAAAAGGTGCAAAACCACCTGAAGCTAAGTGCCTAGGGCAGGGCTGAGCTCTGGTGGCCTCCCCCTGAGTATTGGCCACTGACTCAAACCCGGGTCAGGAGGCTCAGCTCATCGCCCCCTACTGGCAGAGGGCGGGCACGCAGCCAGGGGCTCTGTGACCTCTGCCTTCAAGTCAACAATTCCCCTTCCAAGGAGCGGTGGACTTTGGCCCTGACAGTCACTTCCAAATCTCCTTCCTCTTGTGGCTTTAATTCCAAATGGATGTTTTTTATCCTCAACCCCCATTTGCTCATCCTGTATTTTCCTTACCCCCTGAGATCTTGCTTCCTGTTCTTTCTACAGCCACCAATGACGGACAGATCACAAATCCCTTTTATTTTCATTGACTTCTATTGTGGCATTTAATAGCCCTTCAAAAATTTTGCCTTTTTGTTCTTGACTCCCACGACAGACACTATTTTAGCTCTCTGCCTACTTCTCTGATCTGTGCGGCACTGCTAAGTTTCTCATCTCTTCCCAAATGACTCCCTGCTTGAAGGCTCACATAGGTTCTTTGTTTCCAGAATTTTGGAGCTTATTCGCTCATCATTAATGACTGAGTTCTACTGAGCTAGACATTGGAGCTACAAAGTCAAGTAAGACATAGTCCCTTCGTGAAGGGCCCACACAGAAAAGACCAGAAAGAAGTGTCGGCGAGGATGTGGAGAAAAAGGAGCCTCTTACACTTCAGGTGGGAATGCCGTGTAGGGAAAAGGAAATGAAGGATTCTCAAAACATGAAAAATAGATTTACCATATGATCCAACAATTCCACTCCTAGTTATCTCCCTGAAGAACACATACACAAAAACCCCACTAATTTGAAGGGAAACCTGCATGCCTTGTATACTGCAGTACTACTTACAATAGCCAAGTGGTGGAAACAACCTAAGAGCCCAACAAAGATGAGTGGATTGGAGAGAAAGATGTGGTATAAATACATAATGGAATGCTACTCAGCTATTAAAAAGATAGATGGGAATCTTGCCAATTGCAACAATATGGATGGAACTGGAAGGGATTAGGCTATGCCAAATAAGTCAGAAGGAGAAAGACAAATACCAGATGGTTTCACTCCCATCTGGAATATAAAGAATCAAAAAAAAAAAAAAACCCAAAAAACAAAAAGGGGGCAGACAAAACTAAACCAAAACAAACTTTAGAAACCTGGCTGTAGAATGGAGGCTTCGAGGAGGGCCTAGTGGACTGTGGTGGTGGGTTATGGGTACTTTGGTGGTGGGTATGGTAACACAGATCTGAAAAGATGTGATCCTACACCCCTAAATCATACATGGTGTTGTAAGCCAATGTTACCTCAATTTTAAAAATTCAACAACAACAAAAAAGACATAGTCCCTGACTTCAGCATATGGATACACAAAGAGACCGGCCATTGCAGTTCAGAGGGCAAGTGCTATGGCGGAGGATGACGGGTGATTTTATAATGTAGCAATGACAATCCATCAGACTGGGGAAGTCAGAGAACTGAACAAAAGCAGGCTTGAGAGAGTGTTCTCAACATTTTTCAACATTTTTTCAAAGTAAAAATACCAAGTTCCTTGTGAGATTTCACTTCAGCACAAACTTCTCATCGATACTTGAAATCCTATGCAACTAGGCATGTTCAACACAGCAGTAATTCCAGACAGCGCTGTTTTCAAATTCGGTGGGGCAGTAGAGGTCTCCATGTCTGGTCTACCTGGTCACAACCCAGCTCCAAACACAGCAGACCTCAGAGAGGCTCATCTAATCCCACATTCCATAGCCCTGGGCACTTGTCAATAGTTTATATCCAAGAGAAGAATCATGAATCCAACCAAGTAATCATTGAGCTAAAATAAAAAGCATGAACAACAGAAATAAGGTTAGTAAAAACCAGAAAGGTTTGCGTGCTGTTGTGTCCGTCAGGGTTAAAGACAGGAAAAAGTATGCTGCATCCTGAAAGAGGGAAAGGTAGGCATAAGGGTAAGGTTTTGAGCACCAAGTGCCCCCACATGCTTGTATGCCCCCCTTACCATCCACCCATGTCTCCTGCCTCCACAGTCCAGTGGCTTTCTGCATCAAGACACCTAGGGGATTTAGAAACTTCCTCCCCAGATCAACAGAACCCTGATCCTTCCTGCATGCCTTGTGGCTGATTCTGCAGGTGAGCCCCAGAGGTCAGTGCCTCTGCTTGGTCCTCTGTGTACAGGTCCTAACCCTTCATGATGGCAGCAAAGCACAGCCTGTGGCAGAAGGCCAGTGTCAACACAGCGCCCTCACCTCAGCCACCTAACCAGCATCTACTGTCTGGATTCCCTCACACCGCTCCTCACTGGCTTCTGCCGCTCTAACTTAGCTTCCTTCCTCAAGACTGGCCTGTCTCTAACTGCTCGAGACAACTTTAGATGAGTTAAACTTTGTGTTGAAGAATAAGCATCGAAAGTACGCAAATCTAAACTGCCCAGCTGACAGGATTATTACTGGATTCCTAGCTTGACTTCTAACATCACAAAGCAACTTTGCTGCTTTTGAAATTTACAGAGATGCAATCCTGGTTTGTTTTCTTTTTCTTGTCTTCTTCTTGCTCAGTATTTTTTACAGGACCCATCCATGCTGACGCATGTCACAAGCATGTGTTCATTTGCTATTCCCATCCCATGTATTAACAGTTGATCTATTTAACTGCAGGTGCACATCAAGCTTATTTCCAGTTTGAAGATATTACAAACAGCAATGCTATTAACTGCCCCGGCCCTGGACCTGTGTCTAGTGAGTGCATTGTGGCTTTGTAATGCATGGACCTGGGGGGCTCAACTGGAGTTCTCAGAACTTCTTCCTTTATGTGCTTTCAGCTTAGACTGGGAAGACAGAAGTCAAGAGGTGACCACATTGTGTTCATGTCGGAAAGCCTGCATACAGCCATCAGGCAGCTCACCGAAGATTGCTTATTTACAGGCTCCTGACCACAGAGGGTGAGGGTGGACAGCCGCAACCCAGCATGTGGATGCTGGATCCACCTCCGCCTGATCCTCTTAAAGTGTCTCTGACTCTTTAGCCAAGTGTGAGTTTATTTCTCACATCAGCTGCATCAGCTGCACCAGGAAACCAAGACCATTCGGGTTGGAGGTGCAGAGATGACCCAGGGCCCATTCACCCTCCCGAGTTCTACTTGTTCTCCTTCCCAATATTATGTTCTTCTTACAGCCAGTGGGCATCAAACGCAACCACCAGATGTGAGACAACAGTCTCACACACAGTCTAACCAGCTCCCCAAACTGTGTGAGATCACACGCCTGCAACCAAGGCCTCCATGTCTCCTTGCGGTTGTTTCTCTGATTAAACTCTGGCACACCACTCACTCTCTCCTGTGGCTGCATCCCTAGAAGCAGAACTGCCACAGACATTTGCATCACAGCACGCTGAGAAGCCTTCATTACTGATGCCCAACACTTTTGTTAATAAGGCTTCTGTGAAGACTAAAACTTTAAAAGGGGGATTTTAGACAAATTCTGTAACATTAAACAAAGACAGACACATTATTGTGGAACGTCCAGAGCCTTAAATATGCTGCTCTGCATTGTGGATCTGTGAGATCACACAGAGCTGAATGTTTCCAGAATTATTTGGCCAACAAACATATTTTCAAGGAGCATCAAGGGACTGACACTATAAAAGACTTTTTTTATTGTTTAGAAATGCTAGTATATAACAAGCTTCGAGTGAACCCTCACTATCCAGTCTTTCCCTCTTCTAGAAAATAGAACCTTCTATTGTTAATTTGGCAGGTGGCTTTCCAAACATTGATTATGGTTCTCAGGACCTTCCTGTAAGTAGGTGCAGCTACACAGGGAAATCCCGGCCGATGGGATGCAACCAGGGGGAGGTGTGTAGTTCCTAAAACAGGCCTTAAAGGGAAGGAGAGAAACAAAGTTAGAAGACTAACACAGCTTAGTATAAAAAACTACAGTGATCACGACAATATGGTGTTGGCAAAAGGTTACAGTAAAAAAATCAATGCAACAGAACAGAGAGCTCAGAAATAGACTCATACAAATAAAATCAACTGATCCGTGCCAGAAGTGCAAAGGAAAGACGATGGAGAAAAGGTTAAGTCTCAGAAAAATTAACTGAATTTAGAAAGTATATCTAAATATAAAATGCAAAATTGTAAAACTTCTAGAAGGTAACACAGGAGAAAATCTAAGTGATCTTGGGTTTAGCAGTGAGTTTTTATACATAATGCCAAAAGCATGATCCATGAAGGGGAAAAGGGCTCAGCTGGACATCATCAAAATAAAAAGCTTCTGATCAGTAACATGATTAGGAGAGTGGAAAGACAAGCCGCAGGCTGGGAGAAAATATTTGTAAAAATATATCTGATAAAGGGTTCATATCCAAAACACATGAAAAAACTCATAAAACTCAACATTAAGACAACAGCCAGCCCAATTTAAAAAAAAAAAAAAAATGAACAAACGATCTGAGCAGATGCGCCACCAACTCAGAAAAACAGGTCACAAATGGTCACATGAAAAGGTCCCCAACACCATGTCAATGAGCTAGTACTGCACAATATTATAGTGGTCAAAATCAAAAACTCCGAAAACACCAAATACTGGCAAGGAATGCCCAGTCGTGGCTGGTGGGAATGCAACCTCAAGACAGCCCTTTGGAAGACAGTTGGGCAGGTTTTTTTAAAATTTATTTATGCATACAAGAACTGGGGTGTAGGCCAGAGGTGCAGGGGGTGAGAAGATTCACCAGAGACAGAGTGGGGAGCACAACAGGCAGATCAACTGAAATACACTGCTGAGGGGAGCAGCGGGCGAGTCAGGAGGGGTCTGCTGCGCTGTGTGGGTATCTCCCTGCCCAGGGATCAAACTCGTGCTATAGTGGCTGGTGATCGCTTGATAGCACTGAGACTTTCACCCCCGTGCCACCAGGGAGCCCCAGTTG